GCGGATCGGCGGATGGGGCCGCGAGCCAAGACCGGCACCGCATTGTATTCTGTTGGTGTTGGGATTATGGGTGGGGGAGGTCTAGTAGAAGGCGGGGTATGGGTGGGGTTAGGGTGGGGGTTAGGATGGTGTTGGGGGGAGGGGGGGAAATGGGTAGGGGGGAGCAGTCAGTGTGTCGTCCTCGGGTTTGCTGCTGGAAAACAAGTTCTTCAAAGCGCACCAAGCGAAAACCGACCGGGAGCAACCGGAGGCCCGGCTCTGGGTGTAGCCGAAGTAGTCCTTGAAGAAGACCACCTGATAGCCCACTGCCCAATGGGGGGGGAGAATTCAACGCAGAAATTTGTTGGGGTTCCTCACTTTTCATGGATCCGCCAGAAAAGGTGGCCGGATCGGTTCTTGGGGTTCCCAGCTTCACCGGGGTAAACCGTGGCACAAACTTACTTCCATTGTATTGGCAAGACAAGGTAGTAGAGGTGGACGTTCGGAAACCAACCGGCTCTCCGAATGAGACACGAATCAAGGTCTTGCTGAGTTTCCCAGCTTCCAGTTCATCCCGTGTTTCAAGCTTCTGAAAACAGGAGAACTGGAACACCTGCGGCGCACGCAGCATCTTTCATCCAACGCGCCTCCGGCCCCTCTGTAACGCCAACCGTGAAGTTGAAGACAAAGGATCCCACAAGCCTCACACGGACTGTGCACAGGAAAGGTTTGCTGTGTGCTTGTCATTCTTGTTGAGTTCAGTCTTCTTCGAACCTTCAAAAGTTGCCTTTCGGACTAAACAGAGGGGTGGCCCAACTCCTGTCAACACCCCCAATGTGGATTCCAGCTCTGCTTCTTGTTGTGTGGTGCGGTGTTTTGCTTTGCTTGGTGTTGTGTTGTTTTGTGTTGTGTTGTTTCGGTTCTCTTTTGTGGCGGTTACACTCTGCATCTTGTAGAGACCATTGATTCCCCAATGTTGACAAATCGATCTCCCATGGAGCACACGGGGAAGGGCTCCAGGAGTCTAAGCAATCCCAGCCAGCACGTGCTACCAAAGGCTGAGATGCGTGCGTTTCCCCATGCAGGGGAACACCACCAGCGATCTGCAGCTACGATTCCAAAACCTGAAAGCCGTGGAAGGATCCTAAGCTCATGTTTGGTCTCGCGACGAGGGGCGTTCGAACCTTGTGGCAAGGGAGGACGTGGCAGTTTGCACTTTATCTGGCCAACCTATAATAATTTGCCAACCTGTTCCTCCTCCTTTGGCCATCTCATATCGTTTTAAAAAAAACAAAGAGTAGCTGTGTGCTCATACAGTTAAAGGGCAGCGAATTCGCAATGCCTACAATCTGCAAAGGCAAAACACACTTTTCCTCGAGCCCAAAGCATGTCAAGTCACATGCCCAATGTGGAGGCGTTCCGGGGCTGGTTTCCCATTTACCCTCTACAAGACCCAGGGGATCAAATCCGAATCCAAACCACCGACCCAAGCCACCAGGCTGAAGGGCAGAAGAAGTTTGCAAATCCATGGGCTTCCTTTCGGGGACCTGTTTGTCGTGGGGCGTCACAACTTCGGAACGCGACGTTGCGATAATTTGCCCCATGAATGGCCACCGGCTGGCTGCTGGCTCTGAGGCCGCGGGCAAAATGGAGGTCTCTCGGCCCACCAGCAACCTGATACGCAATACATGCAGCACGTCCGGAGCTACAGTATGAGGCAGGGTCTCAACAGCTCGCCTTTTTGCAGACACCAGAAACCAGCCAAGTGAGGTGTGCAATTCCTGCGCTTCAAAAGCTGATTGTCGAAGCCCATTTGGTGTGTTCCACGCCGAAAGCTTGGCATCAAACAGCTGGTCAGCTGGGGCAATGTGTCCTTGTGGACTCATCGACTGGTAAATCATTAGAACTGAACTCGTCCATCTTTGACCAAACTGACCTACGAGGAGACACCTATATGCGCAGATTCCTGTTGCAAGCGGCCGCATGGAGAGCCTATCGGCTGACTCTCTGCATCATAGAAAAGACGAGATCCACCATGCAATCATAAGGAAGGCGTTGTGGTGGGTGCTTTCTTGAGCGCAAGTCGGCATCCCGTCCTTCAACCATGGTACACTTGTGGCAGGAACGCCAGGGTTTCATGGATGAGCATGTGAAGATATGTGATTACCCTCATAGACATGGAAAAACCGGCGTAGCCCCATAGTCGTTCGTGGGAAATGATATGAGTCCCATGTCCCTCGGAAATTCCAAGTGCATATCAGATCTCCCGATCTCCCGCACCTTGCTCAGGTTGCCTCTCTGAAAGGAGAAGACCGCTTGCAACCGATACGAAATCCGAGCTTGACAGCGAGGCCGGCTGTTCGGATGGCAGCCCAATACAGTTACGTACCAAGAAGAGCCACTCTTTGCTTCATGCGGCAAACTGAGAATTTACGTGTTCCCTTCCCCAACTTCGCTTACAGTCGCAAACGACTGGCCCATTTCAAGACGACTGGAGAGCCATGTCCGCCCCCGCCTCCACCACCTGGAGGCCTGCCGGCCTCAGCCATCCGTCCGTCCGGCTTTGGCGGAAGCAGTTGACTTTTTGAACCCCCCCAAAAAAAGGCAACGGCTGGAGTATGGAGCTGCGGCTTCTGTGTGCCCAGAAAGATGTGCTCTCGGTGACTCTCTGCGAACTGAGGCTTGAGGCGTCCTTGAGTTCTGGCGAAAACGTGGCTGTACATCTTTGGTGTTTGCGCAGGTCACATGAAAATATGAGGCCCAACCTAAAGGCCCGTAGAACGACATCGCCAACTTCAGCCTTTTGGCCAAACAGGTTAAAACATGATAAATCATGCAATCTCGTCCCTTCTTCAAGGCGAGATGGCCGAATAACCGGAGCCCGGGCCAAAAATCAGCCTTCCCTCCCATGCTCCGATTTTTCTTTTTCTGCGTCCGTGTTACATGGATCTCTGGGTCTGGGTCAAAATAGGGGGACGCCCAAAATGGTGGTTTCCTCTTGGTTTCCCTTTAAAACCGGCTTGAAAGGGTCCCTCAAAAAGAATACACCCATATCTGAACTTGGCAATTGTTTTGAAGCAAGAGCAAAGGCTGAGAAGAACCCAAATGTTCAAGGTGTGTGAAGCCTCGCAAAATCAAAGGGCTCCGTCCCTCAAACCGAACCACCTCAGGGCCTTTCAGAAAACCCCGGGCCCCGGGCCGTGCAGAATCGCGGTGGGTGAGAAGGTCTTGGGTGTCTGGGTGAAGCTCCTGGCGAGATCCAAGGTTCTACGGCCAAGATCAAACCGAAGAAAGTCACAACTTGGGCCAAGAGAAACACAGCTCAAATCAACACACGGCCTAGAAAGTCGGGTAGACTCCCCTTGCTCACACGAGCTCTGTAAAAAAACAGAAGCTAACGTGGGAGATACACGAAAGGCACAAGGGATGGCAAAGGCTGCCCAGCGTTTGGTTTGGATTGGGTCCATCCCAATAAAATATGCACTCGGGGAGGGGTAGTCTACGATCATTGCTAGGCCATTGGGAGACCACCGACTTCTGTGCAAGCACTGCGCGCTTCCATATCGTAGAGTAGCTTGCATGGGACAAGTTGGCTTAAACAACCCGGCCCGATTTAGCCCTCGTGAAGCGGCTTCCCCAAAAGGAGGAGAAAGAATCATCGTGTGAGCCTGTTGAAACGTGGCTGCGCCTGGGAATCGGGTAACAAATCGTTGTCGCACTCCGTTGCAGGCATCACACTGCTGCCGTTGTCCAAGGCGATGCAAGGGCTGTCGCTGCCTTTCCCACTTGCATTGGCCAGGGGCCGAAAGAATACTCCCAGGATTCTCTGTTTCCGTCCTATTCCTCATCGGGATTGACCACCTTTTTTTCAGCAGCATCGAAACTGACTACGTAACGAATCACTGGAACCAACTTCTAGTTGACTTCGATCCAAAATCGCCTTGCCCTTCCTGTCAGCCAAGCTTAGATGCGGTGAGTTTTCCATGGCTCAGCCGTTTCTCCGGTGATCCTAACCTCCGGCCCGAGTCAAATCACCTTGTGTCAACTCTCTGACATCTCGGATGCCGTCCCTGACACTCCCGCCTTTCAGATTCAAAGGTCTCCACCTTCTGTCAAGACTGACAGTGGGTCAGTCAGCAACACCAAGCGCTCGCCCTTTCCGGCAAAAACGGAGACTGTGGTTCCCTACATGTCCAATGGAACATCACCCCGCAGCTCACTTCTGGGCCCCCAATCTTCAAATCCACCCAGGGAAGATTCGAGATCAATGAGCCCACGCCCAAGCCCTCTGGGCCGCCGTACCCCCTTCTCTCCATCATGGGGCGCCCCTCCGGGCTGCCACCCCGCGGCGAGCCCTGACCGGAATCTCCCTCGCACCCCTTGGAAGTCTGGAAGAAAGCCGAAAGAGTGTAAAACTACATGGGTTTGTCTCAAAGGGACCCTAGAAATTGCAGTGTCCCTTTCGGTACCCTCAAAAAACACACACACCCATTTGCAAGACAAGAACACAGACACCTGCGTTGGAAAATCAAAGGAGCTCGGGACAGCAACGTGCCAACCTTTTTCTAGCCTACCATCTAAGAAGAAAGACTGTTGGCTGCGCACCCACCATCCACAAGACAGCTACTAAGCGCCTCAACCGTCCGAACGTCTGCCAAAACCACCACCCGTTTCGGTGCCTTTTGAGATGGTCCAAATAGAGGCCCAATATGTTCAACAACTGAAATTCAAAAGGGCTTCAAAAAAAAAGTCAGGTCTCAAACTCCCCCATTGATCAGGGGTTGTCTCAACCATGTGCCAACGTGCCAGAGTCCCGCCCAACATGGCAGCGGAGCGTGTTCAGCGGCTGGGCCAAGAAGGCCCAACCACTAGCAACACACACACAGGCTTGGAATCCTGGTCATTCAAAGGCCCCTCAAAACACGCTGATGAAGCCCATGTGAGCCACGGTCATTCTTCACTCAGAAGATATCTCGAGCCCATGTTCCACTCTAAATTTCGTGAGTGTACCCAACGTCACTACACAGTTCGAATTCGGGCTTGTTCGGCTTACCGCAAGTGGGGCACTGATCCAACAGAGGAGAATCATACGAAACTAACATTGTTGCTGTAGATAATCATGCTGCATCTTCATTTCGCCTGCACCTGCCCTGCCACGCCCATTTTCCTCCAGTTGTTCAGCGTCCGAAGATGCGCGAGAAGAAGATCTTTATTTTATGTACTCAGCTGCTATTGCTTAAGACCTGTCAGGAAGATGCCAGGAGAGATTGAAATCATAGCGGTCGCGTCCCTAGGCCCCCCTCAGCCGCTGCACTTCTGATCGCCTGTATCACACACCTGGCACGCCGACACTCCGAGCAAAAGCTGTGCCAGAACAGGCACCCAACCACCACGCGGAAATGATGGATGCCAAAGCTGTGCGAGGGTTTACAAACTAATCAGGAGAGCCTCCGATGCCTGGCCTGTTTTTTAGTCCAGAGCGGGCTTAGACCCATGCGTACTTCCTTGCTACACCATGACATCGGAAGGACCCAAAAGCAAAGGAAAGCAAATCTACAAAAAAAAAAACTGGGCGAAGTCTCTTCGGAAGCCTGCGAATCGGGTCGCGAATCGTTGAATTGTAAGGGCGATGGCATGTGGGCTGAGTTGGCCGGAAAAGGTGAAAGTTGCCAACTCACGTAGGGCAAGCGGAACTTGCAGATTCTGGGCCGCGAGTCAACGATGAAAGCAACACCAAAAAAAACATACGTATCTATATCCAAGAGGAGCTATAGCAGGAACGGCTGTTCCAAGCGCCTGCAAAATCGGTGCCGTTTAGAGGGGTGCCCTCCCCAAACAAAGACCCTGTTTCTTCGCGCCAAGGCCGTGTTGCCATCCGAATGGTTTTTCTCCAAATTCACACGTATCACCATCTCACGACTAAAGTTCGAGCATTCCTCGAGTGGCTCCAGCTCAGCCAAGGAGCAAAATGATCGGCCACATGTTTGGAGGTGATGTGATCCCAGAAGGATTCCCGGGCCTTTTCCAATTGAATCAGTTCAAATAGGAATCCCTGAACAGGCGGGAGGGGGCCTGGGGCCCAACCCGTCCTGAGGTAGGGGGATAATTTGGGTGCTCCAAATGAAAATCCAAAATGAAAAGGGGGTACCCTCAAAAAGGAAACACACAAGAGCTTCTCAAGGTGGCGGACCCCCTTCTGGTTGATATTGAAAGGAAAAGCCCCAAAAGAATCGAACCATCTTAAGTTGGATGGTTGCTTTCCCCAAGAATAGTGAACAGGAGGGTGGGCCAAGATTTTTGAGAAACTCCCATCCCCTCCACGCGCCCGTTCGACCCCTGGTGCCACCGCGCCTCGCTTGCCACTCACTGCCTCCAGGCGCTCGGACTTGGCATAGGCACCGCCCCAGTTCTCCTGAAAAAGGGCAGCTGACCAAAGGGCAGTTTTCCGGATTCCACCGAATTGAAACCAGTCATACGGATTCCATGAGGTTGATTTTGAGGGGTTCTCAAAAATTGCTTTGGTGGATTTCCTTCTAAAGGGACCTCTGGAGGGGCGTATTGGTGATTTCGAAGAATGAATCATTGGACGGAAGCTTCCACACACACGCGCGCACACACACACACACACAGACCTAGCTCCAGCTTAAGCGATCGAAACATATGAAATGGGACCCAAACCCAAAGAATCCAAAGGGCAGCCGCACCAATTTGAGTGAGATGTTTCAGGTGGATTTAAAGGGAAGGCAAAAGGAAAACCCATCCATCTCGGGGGTCCATTTCCAATTTGACACTATACCCATTTCTGGTTGCCCGCTAAGCTTCATCAGTTTTCGATTGCCCATTCCGTTCGACTCGCGTCCTTGGGCGCACCCAGCTGCGCAGTGGAGACTAAGCGCTTGTCCTCCTCCTGTCAGTCGATTGAAAAATTGCTTTAAGCAGGGAGGTAAAATGAAAGGAACCATTTAGGATTGTTGTTTAAAAAGGAAAATTTGAATAAAAGCCCACAGGAGCAGCGCAGTTAGATTTCCACCCACCAACTTCAGCAAGCCATTCACCTTAGAAGGTCCTTAACAGGAATCCTGATTGTGGGACATCCGCTGTGAAGGTCCTTCGACCAGCAACACCAGGGCGCCAAACTGACCCAAGCCGAAACCAGCAGAATCCATTTCCAAACCAAACTGACCTACAAGCTTGGCCAGTCAACCCGTGCACAGATTTAACGTTGTACTGGTTCTAAGGGAAAATGAAGGAAGCCCAACACGGCAAAACGTTACCGCGGCAGGTTACGTCTGGCAACCGCCGGATGGCGCCGCGTGGAATTCCGCGCGATGCGTTGGCCTATTTATCCCTTCTTAGGAGAGCAGCGCCCAACCTGACGGCATGGCACCTGGGTTCATGGCATGTCCGGATCGCCCCGGATCGCCGGCGATCCGGATCGCCGGGCGTCGGCTCCGTCGGCTCGGTCCTTGGCGAACTCCCTGCGGCCGCCCACCTTCTTGGCGGGCGCGCTCTTGGCGGAGGCCTGGACCCAGCGCACGCTGTAGAGCACCTGCTCCTGAGCGAGTGGGGCGGAGGCGAGAGGCAAACAGACAGAGTTGGGGAAAGGCCAGCAACAAACCACAGGGCCAAACAAAAAGAAATGAAGCAAAGCCATGTCTGGCCGAACCTATTGCCACCCCACTTCCCCACTCAGCCTTTTGGTGGTGCATTCTAAAGAATTCAGAGTCATGGCGCACAACTAAAACCATACATGGCATGGTCAAAACTCCGTAGTACCCCAATGGGAACCCTTACAATGGTTGCTCAAATTCCTTACTCTCCAAGTGATAAGGTCTTTTGATGTGCCCGTGCCTGCCTTCCTGAAGCTCACCACCTTTTCCGCTGATCCAAAGAACCAACCCTTCCACCCTTCAGCCTCTCAGCGCGACAGGTCCCATCCCCCCCAAAAGCCGCGACCCCCTACCCTGGCGCCTTCTCTGGCGTGAAGCCGATGCCCTTCATGTCCCCGTCACCGCCTGCCGCCGCCTTGGGCGCAGGCCGCTGCCCACCGCCTGGCGTTGTGGGCAGATGCGCGCGAGGAGCGCGCGCTGAGCATCGAGGCAAACAACAACTTGGATTCACGTTGGAACGTGGTGCAGCTATACGTCCACATATCTATCTAAATATGGATGGATGCCTATATATATATATGTGTGTATATGCATATTGGATATACGTGGATCGTTGTGGGTCTCACTCTGCGTGTACATAATATATATAGAGAGAGAGAGAGAGAGAGAGAGGGAGAGAGAGTTGTATACTGTACAAAGATACAAAAAAAGGCTCCTCGACCCAACTGTCCACAACCGTGGGTGGGAGCCTGTAATCCATCGACCTATCGCGCGGACTGTTATTACTCACAAAGCAGAACTAAGGAATCACCAGGCCAGGTGAAGAACCTTCATCATGGGTGAGCACGTTTTGGGCGGGTGGGGGATCAGTTGCGCACACAGATTTGGATCAGTTGCGCACACAAAACCCCCTGAGTTCTGGCTCAGTTACGCACACAGATTTGGCTCAGTTGCGCACACAGAGCTCTAGATGCATGGAATTGGTGGCATCAGAAGGGGTGGGTGGGTGGCTTGGGTGGGTGGGTGGGGTGGGTGGGGTGGGCGGGTCCAGAAAGGAACGCACACAAGAGATGGGGTAGGTGGATGGAAGTGGTGGCATCACAAGAGATGGGGTAGGTGGATGGAATCAGAAAGGGGTGGGGTGGGGTGGGGTGGGGTGGGGTGGGGTGGGGTGGGGTGGGGTGGGGTGGGGTGGGGTGGGGTGGGGTGGGGTGGGGTGGGGTGGGGTGGGGTGGGGTGGGGTGGGGTGGGGTGGGGTGGGGTGGGGTGGGGTGGGGTGGGGTGGGGTGGTGTGGGGTGGGGTGGTGGTGGGGTGGGGTGGGGTGGGGTGGGGTGGGGTGGGGTGGGGTGGGGTGGGGGGGGGGGGGTGGGGTGGGGGGGTGGGGTGGGGTGGGGTGGGGTGGGGTGGGGTGGGGTGGGGTGGGGTGGGGTGGGGTGGGGTGGGGTGGGGTGGGGGTGGGGTGGTGGTGGGGGGGGTGGGTGGGGTGGGGTGGGGTAGGGTGGGGGGGGGGGGTGGGGTGGGGGGGGTGGGGGGGGGGGGGGGGGGGGGGGGGGGGGTGGGGTGGGGTGGGGGGGGGGGGGGGGGGGGGGGGGGGGGGGGGGGGGGGGGGGGGGGGGGGGGGGGGGGGGGGGGGGGGGGGGGGGGGGGGGGGGGGGGGGGTGGGTGGGGTCCAGAAAGGAACGCACACAAGAGATGGGGTAGGTGGATGGAAGTGGCGGCATCAGAAGGGCAAGAATGGGTTTGTAGCAATGGCTTACATGAGGGTCATACACACAAAACACTGGGTGAAATAGTGTTATTCCATCCTAGCTTGCGGATAAAAAGATCTGGCTATATCAGCAGGACGAATCAGGTAAACCTTAAGTCAATGTAGCAATGGTTTACATGAGGTTCATACACAAAAGACACTTGGTGAAATAGTGTTATACCATCCTATCTTGCAGATAAAAAAGATCAGCCTGTATCAGCAGGACGAATCAGGTAAACCGCGAGTCAATGTCTTTATCCTCCACAAGACTTAAATTCGGTAGATGAGATAGGGGTTGTGGCGAAGGTTCCGAGGGACGCTCCGGGCCAGGAGTGCCAGGAGGGCATGTGCAGTAGACGCTCCGGGCCCAAGGTAAACAAGTCTGCGTGCACAACTGAGCCGGGCCTCGCGTGCACAACCGAGCCAGATTCTCGCGTGCACAACCGATGCACCACCCTTTTGGGCCCATAGGAGCTTGTTGCAGCTTGTGCAAATCAATCCATCGCCGATAGCCTTCACTGACCAGCAATGTCATGCAACAAAATAAGCACGATCCCTCACAACCTTCTCAGAGTTCCCCGGAACCTGGGGCCGTTTCCAAGAAGCTCTGGTTGCATCCCCACCCTTCCGCAACCCTTCCTGAACCCTTCCGGAACCCTTCCGCAACCCTAGAGCCCAAACCGGCTCCGAACCACTGAGCCCATATCTGGGCAAACACCCCAAGTTGCTTTCAGCTGGAGAAAAACCAAAAAGAACCGCTCACAGGACCGCCCCCTCCGCCCAGATCGATCCCATTTCGAAACGAGATGCGCCCGCCTGCTGCTCGGCTCTCGAAGCCGTCGAAGAATGCCAGCGTCACCTGTCACAATCTGGAAGGGAAATCCCACCCGTTTGTCCTTGAGTTGGTGCACTTGTTCGTTTGCTTGGAAGGGAAGCTGAACGGAAAACCATGTGGATTTTTTAGGAGTTTCGACCACGAGCGCAGCCATACTGTCGATTCACAACATCTAATGGCTTGCGTGTGAGAAACTTGCTCAGAAGTGGTTGACGCCTTGCTCAGGTCCGGTGATAGGTTGCAGGGTTGGGAAAGCCGCTTGTTGAAATGAGCTTGAGCCACAGTGGCAGAACCATCCTTCTTGCGATACGCTTTCCAAGGGGTCCAAGGTCCGCTTGTAGAAACCAATTGCCGAACCCTTCTCGGATGCTCTTGCACTCCTGGCAAAGCAAAAACGGCTGAAGGTCGAACCCAAGGATTCATCGAGAAATGGAAAAGCTCTTTGAAATGTCGCCTTGGTCCCAAGAAATGGGCAGCAAATGACGTCCTGCTGCGTGCGCGTGGGTACCTGCCTGAGTGCGTGCGTGCCTGCGTAGGTGCTGTGATGTTGTTAGTCTCCGTGCATGACCCAAAGCATGCTACCTCAACAGACCGGCAGGCCCACCAGCAGCAGGCCAAACATAGGTCCCTTTTTCTTGGGGCCACCAACTTGGCCACCCAGCCCTCGGCCATCCTCAGCCATCCTCAGCCATGCTGAGCCTTTCCCCCGTCTCGGCTGAATTTCGGCCCTCGGCCTTCCCTTCCTTTGAGGAGTCCGTCTTGATCAGCTCGATGTCGGAGATGTTGGACATCTGTCTGGGCTTCCTGGGGCAAAGACACAGACCATCTCAAAGAAGCCAACGCAAGAGGCAGAGAGACTCGCAACTCGACCCCCCGCGCCTGGGCGCCCTCTCCCTGCGAGCCCCCTTGGCGTTGCCCGGGTCCGCGCGGCGCATGGAGAAGCCACGGAAGTCGTCCAGGTTCTGGCGGCCTGCGACGACTTCGGCGAAGCACCTCCGGACGCAGCCAGATTTCTGGGCTGGGGAAGCGTGTTCAAACGACCAGACGCCTGCTCCCTTCGGACAGAAACAAAAGGAGCTCGTTTGACAATGGTGGTTTAAGCATGCTTGAACAAGGTTTTGGCCCAGCCCTGCCCCAAACCCTTTTGATAACCCCTGGTTTAAAGTGGTCAAAGAGGTAAGACCTGGCTCTGCGTCACTTCGAGTGGTTACATGTTGAAGGGTTCTCCCAATAAATACTTTGCAGGCCCGGCGGGAAACCCCTCTTGAGGGTAAGTTCGAGGATGTCTTCCTTAAATGGACCCAGTTTGCTGAGCTCAGGGTCCTTTCACAGCTCAACGTGCGGCAGTCTAGACTCTCCATAACACTGACATGGAACCCGAAAGGGGATCCAATTCCCAAAAGTAGCCTTGGATGTTTGACTCCATGTGAATCGGCAGGGGAGTAACCCCCAAGACAGAGTCCATCAGATTTCCCCAACAGTTCTTGAGAAAGCTTCCAGCTTGCGCGCCTTTTGCTTTGATTCTTTACGCTGCCGCGTTTCCTGAGGACAACAAACGCGGATGTATTGGGGCACCTACTCTAGGCGCACGCTTCCGAATTTGATCCCAGAGATACACGGTGTGTACAAATGTAAATGCCCATCTCCTCTTGTTGTGCTGATTGAGCTGGCCCTCGCCAAAAAGAAGGGGCGCATTTCTGCGACAACGCAAACGCAGGTGCTACGCAGGACAGTGCGGCTGGGCTTTCACGGGTGCGTCAGCCATGGACAGCCACCACGCATGCCATGGATACGTACAGGCTCTTGGGCAAGGCAAGGCCAAAACAACACTACCATAAAAAACCTGCTTCAAAAAAGACATTAAGAGTCCACCACACCCCTTCCCCCTCGCCTTTCTCGTAGCCCTCCACGTGGTCCATGAAGTCTTCAATCGAATCCTCGCCCTGCGCGAGCGGCATGCGAGTTGGGAGTGCGGCACGTGAGGTCCCGGCATTCCTCCTTCATGAAAGTGCGCATGGAACCCCAAACAACTATGACACATCACCAACCTGAAATGAGGGACCTTTGATCGCAAACCAAAGCCGCCGTGATGTCGAGATGTCATTTACCCCGACCCTTCAACGTAGGGGACTCGCCTGGGTGCTTCATCGACTAGCATCTGGACAAACGAGGCAAGCCTTCACCAAGTATGCGATGCCCTCTTGGTTCCCTAGGCCGTACGCTGGCCTGATAGTCGCCCGCCGACTTGAACATGTCGCGGGACTCCTGCGGACCGGGCGAACGAATGCAGGGAAGCCCCAAATGAAATCCAGAATCGCGTTTTGGGGTCAATCTGCCGAGCGTGGCCAGCTCGTCAACAGCAGACCAAGCAGTTGGGCCTTCTGCTGCGGGATGGGAGGAGAACACTCGGGTTTGTCTCATAGGGAAACCCTTCAAGCCAGCGGTTTCAATTTGGTTTCCTGTGAAAGCGACCCAAGGGTACCCTCAAAAACTGCACACCCAGTCCCACAAAAAGGCCTTGCTCACGCCCGGACCTGCTGGATCCAAGCTGAGGATCATGCAGGCAAAGTGCTAAGTGAGACCTCAAAAGCACCCACCACGAAAGAAATTGTTTGAGATCCCCCCAAAAAGGTTTTGTCTGAGGGGCCCAGTTGTAGCAGACCCATTGACAGGAAAAACTGTGAAATTAGAAACGCTGACTACGAATTGCGGGCTCAAAGTGGAAGAACAAAGAATAACAAGGAACACAACCAAACGAAGAGCGAACGAACGAAGGAACGAACCTAAGGAGCCAACGAAGCATCAAACAAAACAAACGGACAAGAGAACAACCAAACAAACACAACACGCAAACAAACCAAACCAAACCAAACCAACCCAACCCATCCCAACCCAACCCAACCCAACCCAACCCAACCCAACCCAACCCAACCCAACCCAACCCAAACCAAGCAAGCAAGCAAGCAAGCAAGCAGGCAGGCAGGCAGGCAGGCAAGCAAGCAAGCAAGCAAGAGAGCAAGCAAGAGAGCAAGCAAGAGAGCAAGCAAGAGAGCAAGCAAGAGAGCAAGCAAGAGAGCAAGCAAGAGAGCAAGCAAGAGAGCAAGAGAGAGAGAGAGAGAGTAAGAGAGAGCGAGAGCGAGGAAGAGAGCGAGAGAGTAAGAGAGCAAGAGAGCAAGAGAGCAAGAGAGCAAGAGAGCAACAGAGCAAGAGAGCAACAAAACAAACAAAAAAGGAATGTTGACAGAACCCCAATGGCCAGGCAAAATATTTGAAAGGGAACCCCCAAACCCATTCCTAGACGTGAACCACCATCGGATTCTGCACATCTTCAAGGCAAATCCGTGTCTCCCCAAACCACAGACCCCAGTGGCCATATCGTTTCCTTCTTGGTTCTTGGGCACTCTTGAGGCATGCCCACACCTCTTGAACTGCTTTGGGAGATCCCGCATGTTGAGAGATTGGTTAAAGAAAAAACTCAAAACCCTCAGACAAACAGAAGCTTTGTTTGCAAGAGAAACAGAAGGAAAGCTACAATTGTGCTCATTTTGGGGGATGTGAGAAAATATAGTCAACTCCAGATTTGCGCTTGGTCAAACAATGACATGCTAGAAAGGATGCCGCATGTTTTGGAGACCAACCCATTCGGGGTGCGAATTAGGAGGGCATCATTCAAAAGCATCGACATATGAGTCATATATATATATATATGGGTATGTGTTGTGGTACCGGCACCCCAAAACCGGTTTCCTTTGGGTCTCCTGGTGCCCCAAACCCAAGGGCTACACGCCCTCCGCTCCTTGGCGCAGCGCTTGGCCTCCTCGAAGTCGCGGTTCCCCACGTGGGCGCCCGACTGCAGCATCAGCGAGCCCGCCTGGCCATGCCAACCAAAAGGGCGCGGTGGTTTGGAGGGGCTTGAAGGGGTTTTACAAGGGAGGGTTGAGGGGGGGTTGGGGGGAGGGGGGGAAGGTTTTAGGGGGCTTCAGGCGAAACCCACGACTCCCATCGCAATCTGCACGAGGAAGAATTAACCTGGCTCTACGTAGCTTGCTTCTAGGGTTTGGTTTGAGTTGTTGGGTTTTGGCTGTTTGCTTTTCTGTTGTTCGAGATGTGAGGGGTGTGTCGTTGTATTCCAGAGGTTGCCAAAGTAAGCGAACTGGAATGAATGAATTAGGTGCGTTCCCTTGAAAGATGAATTTGCGGATGGCAATATCCTGAGGCCATGAGTTGACCAGGCTCACAGCAGTCTCTGGTTGCCTTCCGACGGTGAGGGAAACATCCAATAGGTGTCAACATACTTGGCACCTCGGGCACCAAAAAAGACTCTTAACACCTCAGATGCCCCAATCAATGCCCCCAAGCTCTGACCCAAGTTGAGGACGTGGGTTGCAATCAAGGCTTGCCTTCTTCGGGCAGACCGAGGAGGCGGGCTTCGCTTTCTATAGTTGGATGTATTCCATCTTAGAATACAAAACTCGCAAAACATAGCAAACGATGTTAGCAAATGATTACTCAGATCACAATGCGATGATAAACCTCCGTTTGTTAAGCCGGCCGCGATTCATTTGCCCGGCTGTGTTCAAATCCCCATATTATATGCCATATCATGTGAGAAGTGGGGGGTAGGGCAATCCCCCTTGTAGTTTGTCTGAAACAGTTGACCAGCGAGCAAAACCTATCGGATGAAGCCAGGCAGAACCTTGGGAGTCTCTCAAAATGAACAAAAAAAACTCACTCTGTCGGCGTAAAATGAACCAAAACAAAACCAACGGGCACCCATTCCTATGCGCAACGGCCTCGCCCACCGTGTCTCGCAGCGCCCGGAAGGCCGTCTCGGCGTCCTGGAGGTCAAAGGGACGGCCCATTTTGACCCACCACGGAGACCCCAAAATAACCCCCATGTCTGCAGGAAACTCCTTTTAGGGGACCAACAAGTTGAGGTTCCACCATCATATGCAACGGAGTCAGACCTAGAATTGTATCCTGCAAAGGGAGTGTCCTTTCTTCACCTTTCGCTCTTCTGACCTCGCTTCTCAATTTTTGTTGCCTCCCGCATTCAGAGGACATCCCTTCGTCGAACATCAAACCCTGTGCCCCAGCGGCCCCCGATTCTCGGCTCCTGGGCTGTCTTCAATGCATCCTCGAAGTTGCCTCGGTCCAACCCGAAACCAAGGAACACCCCCTCAAAACTGTGGATTCCTGTTGGTCTCCTGGACAAGGTAGCGGTTTGTTGGCCAAATGGCATTGGGTTTCTCATGTTCTGCCTGGATTGGACAACCAATGTCCAAACTGTGCTTGTTTGCCACTGGCAAGGTCTCCCAAAGAGTATCAAGTCCAAGAACTGAGGCAGTGAGACCAACTCCCAACCGGACATATATCCACCATGGAATTGCTTCTTTGCTCCCAAATTGGTGACTTTTTCTACCCAGAAGATATTGGGCAAAGTGGCCAAGGGAAATCCCCTCCAAAAAGTTGAAAGCAAGCAACCCACCGCATGTCTGACATCTATCATCTTCATGGTGTTGCAACTCACAACTGAAGGTATGATTTCAGTCAGTTGGCTGTTTGCTTTCCGTTTCGGCCAGGAAGGGCCGCGATCTATCGTCTGGGTTTATCCTTGTGTTGAGGGCTTGGTTGGGGTTCCAAACGAAACTCAAGAGAAACCCACCTTTTTGGGCAAATCGCGATGACACGCTGGCCAAAAATCAGGGATCCCTGTAAAAATCACCTTCATCAGGGGGGTGATTTCGCTTGAAGCCCCCAAGACGCCGCGTGTTTGTTTGCCCGGAGCCCACTTCGTGGGTCGCATGGCCCAGCCGCGGTTCATGAGGTTGGCGTTCGCCAAGATGTGCAGACTGATGGCAGCCTGCTGCTTGTTGCCCAGGTCCTGCCAAACGTGCCTCGCTTCTCGGTTTTGGGAAGCAAAGGTTTGGGGAATCAGCCAATGGATCGCCAAGGGACGGTTCATGGGGTGCTTTCCCTCTTTCCCTGACAACCCAGGAAGTTGATTGCTGGAGTTGGTTGGTTGGTTTGAATTGGTGGTTAGATTTGAATCCCCAATAGCGGGCAAAACCGAAATCACCCACCTCAGAGCCACTCTCCGCTTTTGACGCCCAAATCAAACCAAAGGATGCACCCTTTTTGGTAGACAAAAAAAGCCCGGTGTGGCCATTTTGAGGGGCGGACATCTCGAAACGAACGCGAACTACGGTGGAATTCACTGAACTGGGTTTTGGACCCAAGCCGCCCATTTCGCCGAGTCCCTCAAACGTGAGCACAACTCCACTCCCCAGGACAGGGACACCAGTTTCCCTGAAGAAAAGAATGGCACCAACCTGAAGTGGAGGTCCCCCAAAGTAGAGAGTCCAGCACTCTTGCGTCGCAGGTGTCCAACCCTTTTGGGGGCACCGATCCCTACACCCGAGCAACGGGAGGGGGCGGTTGAGCTCCGCGTCGCTCCTGGTAGAGCTGGACCGCCTCCTGCGCCGCCTTCAAAGCTTCCTGGCCCAGAGCTGTCGACACCCTTAGGTAGTATGGCCATAGCTTTGTTGGGGAGGGATTGATCTAACTGTCCCCCCCCCCACCCAACCACTAACATGGCAGCAGATCGCTTCCCGCAGAGTCTATGTTGGTTTTGGCGGTGATCGAACTGTCCTTTTGGGAGCCCGTGGAGGGGGTTAACTCTCCTTCCTGCCAGAAAAAGACCGCGAAATGAACCAGCTCTTGATTACACCGGCCTTCAATCAGAAGCAGAAAATGCGGACGGCTGGTGCCCGGGTTTAGGCGGCTGAATTGGTACCTTCCACTTTGTTACTTGCATTTGGCATTTTTCTGAACTGGAAGATTCAGCGGTTTTGTTTTTTGTTCCCCTTGATGGGTTGGGTAGCCCCCGCAGGCATGTGCGTTTTGGACCGAGCTCCGGTTTTTTAAGCATCCCGAGGCGACTTGAACCCTGTTGATTTCTTCCCAAAGGGTGATCCTCTAGGTGTAAGTTCACCTTGGAACAGGTCATCCAAAAAGTATGCGAACCCATGGGCGAACGGGGCGAACGGGGGGGGGCCGGAGCGAATGGCTAGCCGCATGCCTGGGGGTTGCCCATGCCAATGGAGGCCAGCGCGAAGTGCACGTCTGCCACCAGCTGCGCCGCCTCCGCGCGGCCCTTCTTGTCCCCCAGCTTCCTGAGGCGACGTCGAAGGCCGAGAGGCCGAGAGGCCAAGAGGCCGAAGGGGGAGGCTTCCAAGAGAAGCATGTGTGTCTTGTACGGGGGTCACAACAGCAAGCAAGCAAGCAAGCAAGCAAGCAAGCAAGCAAGCAAGCAAGCAAGCAAGCAAGCAAGCAAGCAAGCAAGCAAGCAAGACAAGAAACATACAAACTCGGCACCAAGGAAGCATAGAAGGAAGGAAGGAAACCGATTACCCCCACGTCCTCTTCTTTTGGGCGCACGGGCTTTGCTTCGGGTGTGCCACTAGCATAGGATCCAAGGTCCTTGTGATTGGTTGCCTAGACTTGATCCCGGTGACCCCAAACCATGCGTTTTGAACGCAGATCAGCCACCAAACACCTGTCATATCAGTCAGATGAGTGAAACGTGTTGTGAGCAGCAACCTTCGGCACAAGCAGCCCTCTGTGTCATTTTTTCTGGGGGAGAAGGGTGAGCCTGCCCATTCAAGGGATACTGGGACGCCTCCCGAGCTCCAAAAACAATAGAAAGGGATCTTTGACGCAAAAAAGGTCAGGCGACTTTTGATCCGGGCTCCTGTATGCAAGAGCACACTCCTCCGCGGACCGCTGGGCTTGTTGCGCGTCACCTCGGATGCCAAGAGGCGATGGTTCTTGGCAGCCAGCTGAACAGGAGTACTGCAAAGGCCTGAATATTTCGAATGGGGTTGGGTACATCAACACCAAATTACGTCATAACCACTTTAAATCAATTAATAGTGATGTGTAATTCTTTAGCCCTTTGTGCAACCCCCCCCCCCCCTGCCCGTCTAACATGGAAATGCACACACACACACACCCTTTTCAAACATTGCAACTTACTAGCGGTTCCCGTTGACAAATATCGCACCAGACGGCTGTAGTCCCCCGGTTGTCCCGCCAGATTAACAGATCAACATCAAAACAGTTGCAACTCTCGGGGATCAAAGAGTCCAATTCCGACATCTGGTTCCGGGGCCAGAATCCATGGATGGCAAGATCATGGGAAGACCGACAACGTGAGGAGTCTCTTTTGAAGACTAAACTTTAACCTCGGAATCATGATCTTTCGTCTCCCTCAAAGAACCCCACCCCAAAGCTGACAGCACGTAGACTCATTTGCAAGCCCAAACCCTACAAACCAATCGCAACGCAGGGTTCTCAGAATAGGAATCTTTGGTTTCTCGTGAACTTTGAGCCCTCTTCATGTGCCCCCCCCGCACCCCCCGGGCCTTTGCCAAGGTGGATCTTGGCGATCTGGAGCCAAGCCTCCCCCTCGCCCTTGCGGTCGCCTGACAGGTGTGGCTGGACTCCGACACCCAAATTTGGGAGCTCCTCACAGAGGGCCTCTGCCCCCGATTAGATTTTATTGCTTGAATGAGTTGGCGTATCATTGACGTGTTCGGCGATTTGAAGGCACCTACTTCTCCCCTTGAGGCCGCTCAGTAGGAGCGTAGATCCCCACATGTCAGCAGAACTACAAGGCGCCTCTCGTTGTGCTACAAACAAAGGTCCACAATAAGAATTAATGTGGGATTTGTCATGACATGAAAGACACCCAACAAAAGCAGAAGAGAGGGTAAAGGCCCACATAAGCTTTGGGTTACGATCATTCCGACAGAACCTGGGCCTGGCAGGGCTTCTGTTTCTCCCCTTGATGAAATCATTTCAACCCCACCACAACCAGCCAGCGCCCGGAACTGAGACCAGCGAAACCATCCGTTGAAAACCAAATTGATGGTTCAAAGGGAAACAAAAGTCTGAAACCAGTCCAACGTCAACCCAACTGAAACCAAAAACGACATGGCCGCCCTTGCCCCAAGCCCTCCGCGACCCCAATTCGCGCCTACGGCGAGGAAGAGGGCCGGGCTCTGCACCAAAGCGTTCAGCGCGTCCTCGGTCTCCCCTCGGAGGTGGTGAAGCTTCGCCTCGGATGGGCCGAGCAGTGGTCTCCCATTTACCCACAAGAACCAGAGGTTCAAATGGGCCGCTAGTTTGTTGTTTGCTGTTGTTCTTTGCTCTTGTTCTAGCCCTTTCTCTCAGCCAAGCAGCCATCATCAGCAGAGCGCTGCCCTCACCCTTCTTCTCCTGTCATCTCTCGAGACTTCCAGGCGTGTTTTGTTTAACGGGGTTTCAAGCGAAAGCCTGCCGTTGTTGAAGTGTCCGCATTTTGGGACAGACCCATTTCAGGCACGGTCAAAATGTCTCGTTTTGTCTGAGAACATGGTGGACGAATCCCAAATAGCTTTGGTTGTCCGTTGAATAACCAACCAAAGGGTACAGTTTCCAGGATGGAGGACAAATGTCACTGAATGTCCCGTTCAAGAGTTGCAGCTTACTGGTGGCTTCCAATTCAACCTGCCACTTTTGGAGATGAAAACGGAAAGTGGAGGAAACTCTGGAGGATACCGTGAAAACAGGCCCCGCAAACACAACACCTCGCTTAACAACGGGAACCCTTCGCTACGCATTCGGGAAGAATACCCTTCAAAACACACTCCATATGGATGCAACCAAAACCACCAACTATGGGTACCAATATCAAATAGGTCCCAATATCAAATGGGCCCATTGGCTGCGGCTCAAGATTGAACCGCCAGAAAACCGCAGGTCGCCCTCCACTCTTTTGCATTTACCAGGCTTCTCCTAAGAAACCCCACTTGGTTCCCAGGGAGCCACGATTGCGAAGCCGCGCAACGAGCGCGTCGCCTTGAGGCCCTTGAAGCGCCTCTGCTGCTCCATTGCCAGGCGCATCCCCTCGTCCACCGAGCCCATGGCCGCCTGGGCGTCCACCATGGCCTGCGAGGCTCCGAGTCCTTGGGACCTGGAACCCACTCCTTTCCAACCTGTTTCCAAAGTTCTTTGCAGTCGTCCCCAAGTCTAGTCGGAGAAAAACAGCGGGCTGAGCAGGCAAGACTTTAAAGCGTGTTTAAGCAAAAGTGGCCGAAGCCTGAGATGCAGTGGACAAGCTAAGCTTCGACGAAAAAACGACGGGGGGGCTTGGAAAGGGATGTTTGCACAAGAGTCAAAAGGATGCACCAACCGCCGCTTTCTTCTAAACCAACAGGAAAAAATACTGAGGATAAGTCAATAACAACGTGGTGCTATATCAAAAACGTTGGGCCTTGAGGCAGGCGATCTCCGAGTCGCGGCTCTCGCGGCTGGGGAAGGTGAGGGTTCGGTACAGGCCGCAGGCCTCGCAAACGGCTCCCCCGATCGATCGGGCGACCGGAAATCTTCGCCGAAACTTTGATGAAGCAAAGCCAGCACTCCCCCCCAGACCGGAAAAGAGCTTCCGGGCACGGCGTGGGCATCATGGAAATCAAAAATCAAGTCGCGAACCTCTGTTGCATCCACGACCCGAAGAGCAGAACAGAGTGGCACCATTTGTTGTTTGGGAGCAGGGACCTGTTTTTTTTTGGTGTGTGTGTGTGTATGTTGTTGTTTTGTTGTTTTGTTTTTTTCCCGGGTGACCCACCAAACAAAAAACGGCATTTAGATGCTGCAGCACCTTTGCTTGAAGGCATTCAGTTCGAGTGCTAGAGTGCCATTCAAGCATTGAAGGACCTTCCCAACGAACAGAACGGTGCAAAAAGGCAGATTCGAAGCCTTAGCGTGATGCAGGCTGACATTTGGGAGGGTCCTACACTTGGAACTGTGGTTGCTGCTCAAAGGAAAACAGAAGAAGCAACTGAACGCCAAGCTCAAGCACCATGCAAAGCACGGCAACCCATCAAACCGTGGCGGCGCTTCTCACACAAAACTGCTGGTTTCCACCCCCCCCTTCCCGGCCGGTTTTTGTGGACGCAATGTCCTCTTCACATGAGTTGAATAGGGGACCCTCTGGGACATCATTTAGGTGGGGATTCATGTCCGCCAACCACTTTTGAGAACAAAATATCCCACCCACTTGGGTATGTGTCAAAATAGGGCCACCCCAACAAAGATGATTTTCCATTTGGTTTCCTTTTTTACCCCACCTGGACAGGGTACCCTTAAAAACTCGCAGGCGCCTGCTCTGCCGCCCGCAAAGCCTCGCCCGGCTCCTCCTCGGGTGCGGATGGCAGGACGTCTCAATTGCAAGCCCCACATGCTTCCGCCACCCTCCAAAACAGGTCCTTGGGGCCGTCTTAAAAAGGAACATATATGGCTGTGAGTCAAAAATGTGTGCCCCAAATAAATGGAACCCTGGCAAATGGAAATAAGGACTAAACCTGCGGTCTTCTAGTGGTTTAATTTTGACCCAAAGTCATATGTTGCCTTTTTGAATGGCTCTGTCCGTTGAGGAAAGGTTCTTGGCGCCTCCTTGCAAGGGATTCCTTTGGGTAGGTTCCGAGAACCGTCCCCTTTCCGTCCGGGCACAAGCAAGCAAGCAAGCAAGCCACTGTCAACCTGCTGGTTTTGGCTCCCTTCAATTCAATCGGTTTGTTAGTTCCAGCCGCCAACGAAACGGCAAAAGTTGATTAAAGCTACAAACGAAACATTTGGAAAGATGCTTCAAAGAAACGTTTTGACAGCCCCTAGGAAACTATAAAACTAGCGGGGCCAAACAAACAAAACTTGCATTGGTAGTGCCAAAACAGTTTCGAACAAGTTGGGCTTTTGTCGAGGATATTTTGTGTGGAGGTGGTTCCAAGGGACAAACCAAATTGAGGGTCCAAATCACTATGTTGATACTTGGGGACCCCAAAGAGTGTGGTCTCTGTTTGGTTCTCCTCTGCAAGCGCCCTCAGTCTCAACATGTAAGAGACAAACAAGAAACCAACCGTTCTAGGCTCTATGTGCAGATTGAGGCGAAAACCAAACAGCCCAGTTCCCTTGAAGACGAGCCCTTGAGAAACCTCCAACTCGCCCTCCCAACAGCCGCAGCCGTCGAACTCCCCCTCCTTGTCCAGGCGGATCTGCGCCAAAAGCTTCAAAGTCTTCGCCTCACCCTTGCGGTCGTTGGCGGCCTGCGATGTGCTTTTGATTTACCCGGCCGGCATGTTCACTGCTGTTTGAATTGTGTGTCTGTGTGTGTGTGGTTTGTTGTTGTTGGTGTGTGTCTGTGTGTGTGTGTCGTTTTTGGTGTAAGGTTGTTTTATTTGCTGTCCTTTTGCGTTTTCTTATTGTTTTTGTGTGTGTGTGTGTTTGTTCCGCTTCGATCAACCATGGATGTGCTCTCTAGGTGGCCTGCACTGAAAATCGGATGGTTTGCCCCAAAAAACCGATGGTTTGGTTGAAAATCAGACAATGCGGCTGAAAGATGTCCATTCAACAAATAAGCTGGTTGCAAGTAGATGGGTTCCCCTGGCTTCAGTTTCATGATTTACCTGCAGAATCCAAAAGGACATTAAGGTATTCACCTTTCCGGCGCAACTTAGAGGAGACTCACCACGTCTCGCCCATGCCGCAAAAAGACCGCAACACTCGCCCAATCGGCCAACTTTCCATCAGCCAGTCTAGAGAACCCAACTCCAAGTGGCCTTTGGGGACTGGGGGAATCGCTTTCGGGAATCTATTGTTGTCCCCCGAAAGAGTAAAACACATCTCCACACTTTGGGGACCCACCCCCACCCACCACACCCCACCCCTCGCACTCCCAAGTACCCAAGGCCTTGTAGCTGGCATGCGCGCCCTGGCCAGCACGAAGCGCCTGGTCGGACTCCTGGTTCTCCTGACCCCGTGGAGTGGACTCCTTGGAGCCCTGAGTTTCCTTCACGCCAAGCATCCGCCTAACAACGGTTCCTGTGCAACAAACCATATTCGTTGGTGGTGAGTCGTTGCCGCTCTCTCACTCTCTCTGTCTCTGCATTTCTCTCCATGGTGCTCTCTCCGCCTTGATAATGCGTTTCATGTGTTGATAACGCGCGCCAAGAACGGACATGTTGACGGGGCTCATGAAGGCGGCCCACGGAACTCTCTCGCAAGGTTCCGCTGGGCTCCTTGTGAATCTTGGCGATGACGTACATGCAAGCCGCTTCCTCCTGCAAAGCTCACCATGGATTGGCACCGCTGTATACACCTAGTCCAGTTGCCACTTTAGCAGCTAAACAGGGCAAACCACAATTTCAAAGCAGGTAGCTGGGAGCCTACAGGGACAGCGGAATACTTCGCAAAGAGACCCCGTAGGCTGAGACAAGCGATTGACAGTGGCCTTGCATTGTTGCAAGAGCGAGAAGCTCCAAATAGCACAAGCGATGGGCAACTACTTTGGTCAAACATGCAAAAAAGGCACTATGCATATGAGGTGCGTAACCAATGCCGTCGGATCAGGGTGGACAGAAAATCATAAAGGGTTCCAGATCGTCGTTTCCCATGTCCTTGTGTGGAAATCGGAAGGGACCCCCCGTCCCAACGAAAGATCAGAAAGCGCAAACTTGAAGGGCAACCACGAAAAACTATGGTTCACCTTCAATTCGAAAACAAACAAAAGCCGGGTGAAAACCCGTCAAGGGCACCACCCCGCCTTCCCTGAGCAGTCCCGTGGTCCCCGAAACAAGAGCCAGCTCTTTCCTCTCAACGAGCCAAACGGAACCCGCCGGTGCCCGGTCCCTTCAGATCCGCCCCCGGGTCGTCGGGTCGTCGGGTCGTCGGGTCCTTCTTGTCGCCGGCCTGGCGGAACTTGTCCGCGAGGCCTTGGCCCACCTTGAGCGCCGCCGGGTCGCCGCCCATGGCCTCCACGGCCTCGCTCTCCTGCCAAACGTCGGGGGAAGGGGAGACGCGCAAGCGCAAACGAAAGGGGACATGCTACAAGTGTTGGTTTTTCTTCCAAAGTACACATAAAGATTGTGTACTCAAATAATTAGAGGATATAAGGGTCAAAAGACAAAGGCAGGAAACGGTCGAAAAGAACAAAGGTCCCTAGATGCACAGTGGACACGGATCTGTCCAAAATAAAAGGACGACTCAATGGCAACAAAACCCGGGAACACACAAAAAAAAACGGGGGGGAGCGGCTCCCCTCCCTCCCGGGCGCGCCTTCTCCTTGAGGCCCAGGCTCTGGTAGATGGCCAGCGCCTCGTTCCCCGGCGCCGCCGCGTTCTCCGCAGAGGCCTTGGCCACGAGGCAGAGGCACTGCGCCTCGAGCAGCTTGTCCCCCAGGCTCCTGGCAAATGCATGCCGTTGGATGGATCATATGACTTGTGATTCCGCGACTTTGTATCGTATACCATGGATGGATCATCTGCCATTGTAACCATGTCACTTTGAGGACTCAGAACCTTTGGCTCACGGCCTCCAAGTCTTTCCGCGCCTGGCGAGGGCCAGCGCCTCCTGCGCCAGGGGCAACGCCTTGCCGCCCATCGTCAGCTGGGCCTGCGCCAAGGTGCACAGCACCTGCAGCTCCCGCATCCTGCGCTCTGGGAGGCGGAAGCATCCAGCGAATCCAACGAACCGGAGAAAGATGTTTGGCTCGAATCCAGCGTAACATGGGCAAACTCTTGTGGCTGGTCCTGGCTCCCTTAAAATGCAGCCAAACAAAGGGTCCTGCTAGGTCAACAAGCGAAAACTCATATGAAAATGGCCCAAAGGCGATGGTTAAATCAGCCACAAAGAAAAGCAGGTTTTAAACACGCCTGAATGATGCCGTGTATTTTTGAAGCGGAAAGGGTCCACGAGTGAAGCGGACAAAGGTCGCGAATGAGCCAACACCGCTTTTTCTTTTGGTGAGGGAGTCCCTGACAAACCAAGCGGCAAGTTCTTCTTTCTTGCCAACAGGCAAGTGAGGTGTGCCTCTTTCCCATTCCCAGGAAAAGGGAGATATCAACCTGCAAGGGCGCTTCTAGTGCCGATCCAGCAGGCAAAACACTGAAGCTTGAACTACTTGAGGAGAAAAGGGGCATGCCAAAATAGGGTATCAAGCTGGCTGGTTCTTGGAGGAATTGGTGAGGAAGGGAGCAACCGTGTTTCCCAACACAAGGTGTGGGGAAAGGGAGGGGGACCGATACTAAGCCTTCACCAGGATGTTTTGTGTTTGTTGAGAGTTCTGTTCACCTCATGTTTGTACTTCGTCCAGAAGGACGTTGATCTGATACTTGCTGAAACCACGATAGAGCCATTTTGAGCTTGTGGGGTTAGCACATCTGGGATTTCCTGATGGCCTCCGGGAGGACCAAGAGGCCAAAACGGAAGCATATCCGTTCTCCTGCCCTCTGAATGGCAGGACCTTGGGCCAACACGAAACCGCCAATTTTGGGAGTCTCCCCATTTTCACTCTTCCCGAATTGCAGAAATGGGCTGAGCAACATCCGAACCTCCAGGCCGCTGGTGTTCACCTGCGCCCCGAGACACAACCCTTCCATAAGCACCCACTTCTCGCTACCAAACCCATCCCAGATTGCTCTTTCTTTGCTGTGTAGCTCTGCATTGCTCCAGCAGCCCCTGCTCCTGGCAGCCCAAGCGCTCACTCAACGCCCGTCCCGTCCTGTCACCCACTTGCCGCGAGAGCTTCAAAGCTTCTCCACCACGGAAGATGCAATCATCCGTGCTGTCCTGGCCATGGACAGTGCTGCTGCTTTCTCCTGCTACAAAGTGATGGCACGACAGTTGACTCCCCTCCGAGTGCGTCTTTTGGGCTTGCTTCAAACCAAACAGGACACCCACCCGCCTTGGTGTCCCTCGTACTGCAGAAAGGCATTTAAATGAGTTGCCCGCAGACTATCCATTTTGTTTGCAATCCAAATTCCAACAGCCCCCATTCCAAAAATTCCATAAACATGACAGGGACCGGTGTCACAACCACTGCTGGGCACCCATCTGGATTTGCCGTTTGGTTTGGGATTACCCCAAACAACAAGCTGGGGAAACGAATCCCCGAGCAAAGGACCTTCACTCCACCCCCACACCCCAACCCAACCCGCCCCACTCGGCCTTGCCCATATGCGCCAGGGCAATGGAGTGGATTGCCGCCGCCTGGCCCTTGACATGGCCAATCTCCTGACATCCAACCCAACGCCGTCCAGCTCGCGGAGAAGCTTGGGCATGTCAATGCAGGAAAATGAGAACCAAATCAGCCAAAAATTAAAAACAAACAAACAAACAAACCAAACAAACAAGCAAACAAAACAGACAGACAGACAGACAGACAGACAGACAGACAGACAGACAGACAGACAGACAGACAGACAGACAGACAGACAGACAAATAAACAGACAGACAAATAAACAAACAGTGCATTTCATTATGTTGCATGATGGTACAGCGTATTGCGTTATATTACATCACGTTGCATGCATGCACACATGCATGCATTACATGGTGAAAGAAACTGGTAAATAAATGAGTAGATAAATAAATACATAAATAAGTAGATAATAATAAAAAGAACACAACGGTGAACAAACAAGTAAACAAACAGATAAACAAAGAACAACATAGTTAAATACATGAATATACAAAAGTAGAAAGGACATAGACGGACAAACAAATAAACTATCAAAAAGCTCAAATAAACCAACAAACCATATACATGAGTACATGAACAAATATACAAATAAGCAAATACCTTGAATAATAACACACATATATAGGTAGAAATACATGACATGACATTATATGACATGACATCACATTACGTTACATTACATGACATGACATGACATGACATCACATTACATTGCATTGCATTACGTACACGGACAAACACATATGTATACAAGAAAACACAGACACAAACAAATACATAAATAAATAGAAACAAAGCAACAAAGCATCCCCCACCCCCCTCTCCCCCCCTTCCCGTTTGTCGCGCCTTGAAGGTCTTCAGCGCCTGGTTGGCCGCCTGCAGCGCCCCAAAGGCGTCCTGCCCCAAACTCGCCGCGGACACTGCCCGCAGCGCGCTGCCCTCCCCTGGCGCTCGGCTGGGCGTGTGCTGGGCGTGTGCGTGCGTTTTATAGGGCCCATGAAAATGGTCTGTGCTTCTCCTTTTGGCTTCATTTCAAGCCACAAGAAAGGCAGGTGCCCTCAAAAAGAGGCAGGACGTCCTTGTCTTCCTTTAATCCAACATAATAACAAAAATAATAAACTCTGGTGATATCCCCAACAGCATGCGGTGCTGTTTTTAGTGCTCGCACCACCCCGCAGCCCTCGCAGAACCTCGTGGAACCCTGGTGGAACCCTAGTGGAACCTGGTGGAACCCTGGTGGAACCCTGGTGGAACCCTGGTGGAACCCTGGTGGAACCCTCGTGGAACCTTACCTCAGGGCCGCCCCGGACCACCCCGGAGCCTATCTGGGCTGAGACCCCAAAGCTTTCAGCTGTTGGGGAATAACAAGCAAAATAAGCCCACCCCTCAAGAAAACGCACCCCCATTCGGATCCGGAACCAGAAAGAAACGAACGAGAGACGAGCTCGCCCCGCCTTCCAAGAGGTTCAGCTCACGGAAGGTGGCCAGGGCCTGCTTGGAGTCCTCGAAGTTGGAATGGAGCTCAACTTGAGGTGTGCATTTCTCGGGGGGTACACTTGCCTATGAGAAGGCAACCGAAAGGGAAAAACCACCATGTGTGGGGTGCTTCTATTTTGACGCATACCCAAATGGGCATGTGCCAACATACGGGCGCCCAACGGAAATGGGTGGCGTTCCCTGCTTACGTGATGCTGGGTTGCCTTAAAGGGAGTGTGGGGCTGCGGGTTGTGTTGAGGCATACTTCAAACAATGGAGGACTTTTTAGGGCTCCAAATGATTTGTTCAGCAGCCCCAACAGGCTGGGACTTTTTGCGTCCCCCATCAGGTTATAACCCCTTTTGGAAAGAACATGTCCGGACAAACTGCAAGAGCGTCGCAGCTTCTGTTATTCCCATGCAGATCGGTTTGGCGGGCTATTGCTCCCCCCCTCGGGCCGTGCATTACTCTCCCACAAATTGAGACACAATAACGAAACAGAACAACACATGGCACGGGTCCGTTTGATTTCCTTCGCTGGAAAACGTCATGCTTGTAATCAAGCAACCTTGAAAATCTGTCCAAACCACTTTTGCTCAGCGGTGGCCGGGAAAGAGTGGCTGAGCCTTCCGGCGACAGATGCTCTTCGTGGGCATGTTGCTGAAGAAACCCCGAAGCCAAACCCTTTGAGGAGTGCCTTTAAGAAACGCCCGGGATCGTTTTACCGACCTAAGGAATGAAAGAGCATTTTAGGGGCGGAAAGGAAGAGGGGCCCAGTGCTCCTTGGGCTGCACCTTTGCGGGAACAAAAGCAATACTCTGCAGATAAACAAAAGGAACCCTAAGAGAACCATGCAGCAGCATGCATGTTCAGATTTCCCGTGCCGGAGCCCCCTTTTTTGGGTTCCAGGTCAATTTGCAGGGGAGTCACGTTAACTTCAGGTGACCATACTATTCAGGGGTGGGACGATACAAATCAGGGGTCAGCACCCCTCCATTCTACGGGAAGTTGTCCAAGCACAATAGCCTGCAGATTAGTCTCACTTCATGTAGAATTTCCTGTAGGCTTCTTAGAGTTTGGTGGGCGCCCCGTTCTAAACGGCTCAACCAATTCTCGTCTCCTTCAAGGCGTCCTCAAGCTGTGGGTTCTCCATCTCGAGCTGCGCAAAGGTCGCCTCTGACAATGCAAGGGGGGTGCATTTGTCGCGGATACCCTTTTCAGCTTGGCTTCAAGGAAAGCCCAAGGGAATACCCACACATTATAGGGATCCAACTCCCCATTTTGACACTTGCCCATGTCCTCCCAATCTGTGGCTGACCTCATGGCTCCCTCAAAAAGGAACCCCTCCAATGGTCGTCGTCCCAAGCCCAAGTGCAAGGGAGTTTCAACCCAGAACAGAAATCTCATCATGGTGCTTCTAAGTTCCCCTTCTCCAAACCGGGGAACCCGTGTTTCGACAAACTCCCGTGAAAAGCCGATTTTTTCTAGGCACCCCCTAAACAAGAACCAAAAACCACAAGACCCGAAACCAGGTGCGTTGCGGACCCCGAGTCTACCACCAGCCTCCCCTTCCTGTCGGTCCGCTCCCTTCTGTCGCTCCCAGCGCCTTCACCAGCGCCGCGGCCTTCTGCCGCGCGTCGGAGACCTTCTTTGGCGCCTCCGCGGCCGCCTGGGCCAGAAACTCCGCGCGACCCCTTTGGTCGCAGCCGGTTCTCGGGGAAGACGGGAATGACCCCAAGCAAAACCATCCCCTCTGGTTGCCCCATGGTTTGGAGAAACGTTCTCCTTTTCGACGCCTTTCTTGTTTGGACCTTAAGAGAGTGCTTCAGGTCAAGGTGAGCGAAGGGGGGGAGTCCGGTCCCAAAAGGGCAGGTTTTCGACGGTGCTGAAAGACAAATTCACCAAGAAACCACTCGATATAAAAATAATGAACTCGACAAGGTGCCGCCCAAGCAACCATCCAATCTTGCCGAGTTGAGAAACAATCTTAGTCTTAGTGGTTGGAATATGAGTGAAGGTCGATCAATGCTCAACAATATGTCTGCATGGAAGACAGGAGGCTTGGGAGGATTTGTTGGCGCCTGAGAAGGTCATTTGGATCTGGCTGCCCTGTGTCCCAGTTGCTGCGCTCTCACACAAATCTGCAATTGTGAGCATCTGCGAGTTGTGCTTTTGTGTGTGAGTGGCTTGCAAGCCCTTGGGCTTTCATGTCTCTCGTCTGTTGGGTTGACACAACGGCACACGTGAGTTGATGCGGTCACCTTTGGATGCACCGTCAACAAAGGAGATATGTGTGTGTGTGTGTGTCTGTGTGTCTGTGCGTTATAGGGCAAGCATAAATCTCATAAATGCTGCGAAGACAAAACCAACGCAACTGAAACATGAAAGCCTTCTACGTTGGAAGATGATCATCATCCCCTTGGGGAAGGGCCTGCCGCGGCTCCAAGAGAAGGCCCCTTGTTGGACGTTGGCAGCTTGGTTTGCCTTGAACAAAGCTTTATCGAACTGCAATGAATGCTTTTGAACTTTTGAACCTACCCGACAATGCTGAAGAAACTGTTTTGAATCGTTGACCGAGATGCCACAAGATTTTCGAAGGCCCCCATCTTGAGGTGATTTGGTTTAAGAGTTCTTTGGGCCCTCAGATTTGGTTTAACCTTCCAACCAGTCAGTGAATCCTGCCTTCAGAGCCGCCTCGTCTTCTGGCTTGCAGCTGCTGAGGTCGGCCACCGTGACAGGGGTAAACCTCAGGCAGCCAAAAAAGGAGATCCTCGAAAGGAGGGTTTGCTCTTAGCTTCTTGCCACTTTCTAAGGGAATTATGAGTAAAAAGTGAGTTCAAGTTGGTATGTGACTAAAAATGGGTTTTCCTGTTAGTGTCCTTTCACAACGAGCTGGAAACGATAGCCTTGACAAAATACACTAACCCACATGCCTGTGTATGAATGTATAAATCTGTGCGATAGCCTTGACAAAATACACTAACCCACATGCCTGTGTATGAATGTATAAATCTGTGCGATAGCCTTGACAAAATACACTAACCCACATGCCTGTGTATGAATGTATAAATCTGTGTGACAGGTCCAAATTCCCTATTAATGGGTCCCTGACCATCCAAGCAGGTTGACCATACCACATATGAAACGGGTATGTTTGTGGCACCATTGGGTGATCATCCTCTTGCAGCCTTCTCTGAAGGCGAGGGAGCAAGATAGGATAGGACCAGCCACAAGCGGTTTGCTGGATAAACACCAGCTGGCGTCAATACGAGTTTGATCCCGCGCAAGCCGAGCAGATCCGGCTACATGGCCACAGAAGGTTGGCGTCCACATCCGGCCGCGCTTGGACCAGCCTTTGAGGCATCTCCCAGAATCAGCCAACTCCAAGATCAGAACAGCAGGGTCATATTGTTGCCCCCCTCTTGTTGAGACAAGTTTGGCATTTTGCCAGAGAAAACCAATACTTCTAGGAAACATGAAAGAAGAACAAGAACAACCCCAAGTAATTTGAGCCCCTAAGTACTTTGAGACTCCGTGAGCCAAAATAAGAGGACTATCTTACAGCTTCAAAGAACCAGGGGAGACCCTCCCACCGACGTGGAAGTGCACCAGCTCCTTTCCAAGAGGAAATTGTCGTCCGAAAGTGTCTTTGCGAATAACCACCTTCTCCTCGCCTCTCTTGGAAGACGGCTCTCCTGTAAATTGGTGGTGTCTTTTTGCAGGTTTGGTCAAACTCCACAAGCGCCGCTGAACTTGCGATCTCGGAAAGGGGTTTGGTCTGTGCACCAATTGGGCTGCTTTTTGTTGAGTTGATACGCATTTAGAGGTTGGCTCTTTTCGGGAAACCAAAGGCCAACCGAAGCGCGGTCCACATCCTTCTTTTTGGCACATACTCATGGTGTGTCCAGGGTACCCTCAAAAAGGGTGTTTGATCTGAATGTCTTTCTCGGGGGAACTCCCATTTGGTTGGTTTTGACAGGAAGCCCGAACCATTTCATGGCCTCTGTTTCAACACAAAAACCCATTCCCAAGATGTCCCATTGAAACCTCAACATGATGGTGTCCCTTATCATTTCCCTTCACACCGACCTCAAAAGAGATGCACTCAAAGGGAGGGACGAAAGGACAAAAGGGAGGGGCCAAAACCACCCGAGTTAAGTCACCATGCCAAGCAAGCAGGCGCCTGATGTTGACCCTGGATTAAATAAACCCGTCCCATTATCAGGACAGTGCTCCCTCCAAAGTGGTCTGAATCCCCAGTAAAAAGGTGACACCCCAATATTAATCAACCAGGGGTCCTACTTAGATCCGAGGTTAACATTACCCTCCCACCAGCTAACATGGAAGTGCAAAAAGGCCCTTTCCAGGAGGAAAGTAGTCTTTCAGTCTGTGCACTTCCATGGAATCGCTGGGAGGGTAAACGCCCCAGGGCCCCAGATGGTCACCAAGGTCTCTCCAACGGCCCCGTTTCTCCTCGCGCCCGGCTCCGCCGCGGCGCTTCTCCGTCCAGGTGAGGCCCAGCTCCTTGGCGCCGTCCAGAGCCTGGCGCCAAGCCGGGGCTCCGAAGCCGGGGTTCAAAAAACCCCGGGGCCGGGGGGGGGGGGGTGGAAACCAAACAGGGTTAGGAGCAAAACCAACATGTCCGAAGTTTGAATTCCAGGGACTCTTGAATTGGACACTTTTTGGTGGGAGAGGTCCAAGTGATCCTTCTTTGAGCTTATGACTGTAAGCCTTGTTCTGCATGCTAAACCGGCAAATGTTGCAAGGAACCCGAAACAGGGCCCCTCCCTCGGAGAGATACCACGTTCGCCTGCAAGAAAGGCAGGGGAGCAAAGGACGACCAAAAAGCGAAAGCAAGATGAAGGGTGAACCATTTCGGAGTCACCATGGGGCTTTTGGCCGCTACGGATTCCGGATCCCCTAAAAGAGATAAGTCACGAAGGGGCATTCCCTCATTCGAAAACTGAGAACCAGCCGTGAACCGATGTGTCAAATCATTGAGCTTCTCAAAAATAGAAGTTGCATCTTCGGTGTAGAGCCAACGTGTGTTCGACCCAAAGCAACTTTGCGGAAAAGCCAACGTATTTTGAAGGGCGCTGCTAATCCTGCTTTGGTGCATCATCTGAAGGTCATGCCTCAAGCCATGCAAGTCAAACTCGTTGGATTGGCAACTGGTGGTTTAGTCGACAATGTTGCAGCCCCGCCACTCCTTTGCTGCTTCAGGCGCCACCAACAAATAGAATGTTGCCAGTCCTGACAACTTCCCTTCAAAACCAGGAGGGAAAACCAAACGGTCACATTAGGCAAACGGTCGCTTGTTTGTCTCCAAACGGCTGAACACACGCAGGGCCTGGCTTCCCTTTGGTTGCCCTTCAAATTAACCTCACCAATAGATGATGGCACTGCTTAATGCTAAGAGCCCAATTGAAAGCCAGTGCGATCCATCTGTTCCCAACTGACCCCCATCTACACAACCCTGACATACTGGCTATGTAGCGGTTAGTTCGGGGGCAAGCCCCGGATCAATCAAAGTGGCAGATGAGCGGGTGTTTCCTCCAAAGGTGATGCGATGTCCCAAATGGGACACCCCCAATCCAAGCTTATCAACCAACGGGATGAATCTTGGCAGAACACCATTTCCCCGAGCGTAGCTTTTCCGCGCCTCCTTCAGCGCTTTGGCCGCCTCGCCCCCGGCCTTGCCGGCCACCGTCTTCGCCAAGTCAGCGGCCTGTCCATCGAAGCAAAGTCAACTTAGGGTTCCCATTGCTTGAGCAAATGAGGCAGACTCGAACCCAGAAATCGCTGAGATGGAAATGGGTTTGAGTCTTGGGACAAACAAACGGAACACTGGATCCCAACAACTGTTGGCTTTGACTATTGACTTTGGACTGCGGAGACGTTTGGTTGTGCCAACCTGGGCTACAAACGTTTATACTAACCATGGCTATCATTTCCACGAAACGTGGCAGTAGAACCCCTGCCAAAACGGCCAATCTGAGGTTTATGGCGCTGCTCTCTCAAGGAAATTGGAAATCGAAGGGAAAAACGAAACCTTGGACCAACGGGAGAGTGCCAAGCAAGCTATCTCGCTCAACTGACCCAACTTGTCTCTAGTTACTGCAGAAAGAGTCCTTTTCAAAAAAGCCAAAAGATTAAAGGTCGAACAAGAAAGCAACAATTAGCCTTTTCGGAGAAGACAATTAGAAGAAAGGCTACCCAGAAACTTGCAAAACCTTCTTTCTGCAACTCTGGAACCCTCCAGAACCCTGTCACAGAACTACTCCGGCCCACTCTGGAGCTTCTCCGGGCAAAGCTCTTGGGATAAAAGGCAAACAAAATTACGGTCAGGTGGGGCAATGCGTCACTCACACTAAAGTTAGAAGCCCGTGCTAAAAAGCGGAGAGATCTCTCTTCCAAAAATGCCATTGAAACCACCTCCAAATAGACCCCCCAAAGCCAACTCCCCCCAAAAAATACCTCAACCTCCAAATGCCCCCTCCCCAGTTGCACGCGCCGCATACGCCGCGGGCCTTGGCCCAGGGCCCAGTGGCGCCGCCAGCTCCCCCCGCCGCCAGCAGCGCCGCCGCCTCGCTCCACGTGGCGCCCAGGCCGCGCAGCGCCTCCAAGAAGTCCGCGCCTCGTGAACTCGGCGGCGGTGATCCGGTTTTGGGGCGGAGGGGGGACGGGGGGAGGGGGGAAGAGGGGGGAAGAGGGGGGAAGAGGGGGGAAGAGGGGGAACCACGAGAAACTGTAGAGATAACCAAGGGAAACCAGCATGTATCTTACCTACGCCTGGGTGGATTCAAGTGACCTCCTCCTCTAATAGTCTACACTGGAGGTTTCGAGGAACGATAAGGGGCCGTGAAGAAGCACTGGGAAGTGGCAATCAAGAGGAAAAGGTTGGCTTAAGGGGCACACTAAAAAAAAATAATCTTGATGCTGCGGAAAATGGTCCACTCGAAGCTTCCAAATGTAAATAGATGCGGCGACCAAGTTAGTTGAGGAGGGCATGAGAAAACCCTTAAAAGCATAGTCGCAATCCAAACCTGGCACACGAACTAGCAGGGAGAGCGGGCACTGGGAAATAGCCCTCCAAAAGCAGGGTAACGCCAAATGGTACTGGGAACGTCCCTGCTGAGTGGTGCTTCTGTTTTTCATCTTGATGACAAAGGCTTGTCCTTGAGCTTGTCGCAAATGCAACGGGTCTAGCAACTATTACGTCTCTGCCCTTTTGCCCTCAACCAAGAGAGAGAGAGAGAGAGAGAGAGAGAGAGAGAGAGAGAGAGAGAGAGAGAGAGAGAGAGAGAGAGAGAGAGAGAGAGAGAGTGCAGCTATGTTAAAGGCGGCTGGTTACTTTTCTGGCAGTGTTCTTTTGAAACCGGCCGAGTAGGACATGTTCCGGTGCTTTAGCCCAAACTTGTGCAACTGCGTATCTGACGTTGAATTTCTGCGGTGTCCTTTTTCGGGCAAAAAGCAACGGATCCCATCGCGTTGAGACCTCCAAGGCGTCCCTAATTTTCCACCAGCAAAGCCCCGCCCCCTCGCTCGCGCGCCTGAGGCCACTTTGAAGAGGTGGGCGGTGGCGGCGATGATGGCCCCGGCCACTTCGATCATCTTCAGGCCATTGGCCTTGCCCTGAGGCCCAGGCAGCAAGCAGAAACAGGAATAACTGGGAGCAAGGAAGGAGCTAGGGGAGCAAGGGATGGTAGTTGCTTTTCAGCGACAACATAAAATGCTCGGGAGCATTTAGGGGAACGAGGATGTAAGGATGAAATTTGCCTGAAGTTGATGCTGCTTTAGATTCTTCTGCCTGGTGACTTTTGCATTGGACAGATTCTTTGATCCCGCGCAAGAACCTGCCAAATATGAACCCGGATTGATAAATCTGACAGACTATCATGGGGGCTTCGGGCTTCCCTGAAAAGTGAAGGATCCCTTCTCAATCCAGAGAACCCCTCCATCAACCAAGGGCTTACCCTCCCTCCCACTAACCCTAGCACCTGGGGGGTTCCTGGTTCGATTTCCTCTTGGCGCACTCCAGAAGGGAGATTTGGTACTTGCGCCCTTTCCTTTTAAAAACTTCCCGCAGGCCTTCGCCTGCAAGTCGCTGCCCAGCTTCTGGGCATCCTCCGGCTTCTTGCTCGCCTCAGGGTCTCGCCCGTCTCTTTCCGAGCGGGGCTCATTTTTCGGTTCCAGGAAGGGGCTGCTAATTGTTTAGCCCTTTAGCCCCTCTTTCCAGTGACCATGGCAATCATATGGGGTCAAAATAAATGGAACAGATGGCCGGCTCCTTTTTCTGGACCTTGGTGCCGCCTTGCGCCTTGTAAGGGGGATACCAAAAAGGGCACTTCATGTTGACTAAACCCCGTGGGTTCCATGGGCGCGGCCTTTCCAACAGGGGAAAAAAACGGTACTACAAAACAACAACGCCAACCTCCCCTCGTCCATGCCTGAAGCAGCTCTCCATTCATCCCAAACATACCGAACTTGCGCAAGGCGCGAACAAACACATTGCCCTGCCCGATTTCGCCCAAGCAAAATGGGGGGGGGTCTCCTATATACCTCGGGCAAAATTGGAAATCGCAAATGCATTCTGGACAGTTGGTTTTAGGGAGGGCAGGTGTGGGGTTTACTTTGATGCAGGGGTAGGCTTGGGGTGAGTTTACGGTTGGTTTAGGATGGGGGTGGGGGGGGGGGGTAGGGTGGGTTGGCTTCGGGTTGCTTAGGGTGTTTCAGGGGAGTTTTCGGGTGCTTGCTTGTTTGCTTGCTTGCTTGCAGGCTTGCTTGCTTACATGCTTCTTTCTTCCCTGCTTCGGCACAAATCCAAGCCAGTGGGAAATGACATGGCTCGTTGCGAACTTCCTGTGACGCCGAGCCACAAAATGCTCCTGGGCCTGCGCCCAGGCGTTTGCCGCCTCCCCGACCGGTGCCATGGCTGACCGGTGTCTCACAGAGTTGCGTCCGAGCCAAGGAGAGGCTGCGGACAGCGAAGCCTTGTCCTACAAGAAGGGTGTGAGGGTGTATTTTCCATGAAAGGCTCGCAGCTTGCAAGCCATGGTCGCACCCTGAAAAGCGCCCGATGAGAAGCCTGGGAGGTTCGCTGACCAGAACCAGCAAACCCTAACCCATTGATTTGATCACAACAATTCTCAGACCGCACGGTTTCTTCCCTATGTTGAGGCAAGCCAACATGTGACCATAGAAACCAAAGGAGACACGAGATTCTGTAAGAATTGGCTGCTATAAACGGAGTGTGCGGAGTTCTCACGCTGAGGGCTCACGTCACGAGGATAGGCGGACATGCCAGGAGCCAAAGCACCAGGCTAAGACACCAGCAAGAATTGCGAGAAAAAATGCTAATCAATCGTGCAGAAGTGGCAAACCTTGTCCAGCTTGGCTTCATGGAGCGAACGTTAAACTATTGAACCTGGACCCTGAGACCAAACATGATCATCAGAACCCCTCGCTTTCCGAATCGGTGAGCTCATGAATTAGTTGCCCATGGGCAAATCGAGCAGCTCAGCTCGCCCACCCCGGATCAGTCTGGTGCCGCCTGATCTGCTGGTGTGTGCTCCTGCAAACACTGGCGCAACACTGGCATCATATGGACCAGAGACGGATAAAGCTCGGATGGTGTCCTGATCCCATTTTAGATCGTATCTTTTGTTTGCGCAGGAAACAAGCTCGGTAAAGCCGCCAAGTTTAAATTCTGGGGTGAACATGATCGTGTCCATAGAAACCCTAAACACCTCGGTGAAGCAACCCGCCCCAGTCAAACAGCGCTTTGACGTCCGGTGTGAAGGGGGTTGACCTCTGGTGCGTGAGGGTGGTTACCAAGATCCCAAAACCTAGTGACTTTGCATTCTACCAATCGGGATGTGTGTCTATAATTTGTTGAGCCCCTGCAATGACAGCCTCCCGCAAACATAGCAATGGGTGCTACGAGAGGCCTTCAGGGCTGCAAAGAACCTGTGGTTGAAACTAGGAAGGAGAGAGAACAAAAACAGGAAGTGTGTTTCTCGGGGGGCCCCCTACACAAAAATCCTCTTCGCTGGGGTTAAGCTATTTTGAAGCATACAGGCAAACGACAAAGCCATGCCTAAGTCACTCCTTTATCTCTGTGGCCATGTGTTCCCCCATGTAAACGCCGATTCCAAGAAGACTTGTGGGCGCTTGGATCCTAAAAAAAGGTATGTGGGCAATCTATATAGGAGAGGTCTTGCTCTAACACACAAACTCTGCATTCCGCTAGCAATGTATTTGAACAAGTAATGAAGGCTTAAGAACCACCTGCACAAGTTAGAGCACGAATTAAATACTTTTGTGGGAGTGCATGTTCTTCATCGAACTACTAGCTCACACTTGCACAGCTAGCCGGCATCCTCAAGGCAACCAGACAGCAAAATGGCCAACGACATTTTGGATGACGATCATACATTGTGGCCGCACATCGCAGCAAAGTCTGAAAACAACATGACCGGACAGCCGAACAGCCATGGTCTGCAAAGATCCCGGCCGAGTAGAAGAGTATGCCAATCACGGCGCCCGCCTGAGGGAATCCAACCCCACGCACCCGCGCTCCGTTGTTGCAATGCCAGGCGCCACTGCAATGTCGTCATCAGGAGCTAAAAACTATTTCCAAAAAGAACGCGACATACGGCTTGAAAGTAAAAGTTTGAGCATGAGGGACCCCCACTGCGAAATTGCGCCCCTGTCCAGTCTCAGGTAACACTTCAAGGGAGTTGTGTTTGCAAGCTGGCAAGGCGCTCCAGGCTACGGCTTTCCAGCCAAGTCGCAATGTTGGTTGCGATCATGCCATAGCACCTCACTCAGCAAGCGACTGCGCTGCCAAAAACCCAACTCTGCCCTGATATATTAGGCAAATCAGAGAAGTGTCAAGGTTGGATGTCAACAAGCTGGAGAAAAATTGAGGCTCGGACAATGTCTGGAAGCTCCAGTACCAAAAGATCTGGCACAGCCGGGCCAAAAACCAGCCAAAACACAAATATGGGAAATGCGCCTCAGTGAGCCCAACTTCAGCTTGCCCGAAACGATCAATGAGCCACGCGAAGCAAGGCTCGCAGGCAAAGCTTGCGACCCGCCGCCCCGGCCTTGGCCACGAGAGGGCCCAAAATGGCACCTGCGCAACAGTTCACGGTGGCAAACCCCACGGAACGCGCGCGAAGGGGGCTAGACGAGGAAGACGCGCGCTCGCCCCGTTTCACCAAAATCTTGCTGAAGTAATCTTGCCGAAGTCCTGGGCAGATCGCGAAGAGAGCAAATTTGAGGACGCGTCGTGGGATGCGCCGTGGGATGTCTTCGTATCCAGCTCCCGTGGTGAAGGTGAGCCTTCAGTCAGCCAAGGCGCTCGCGCTACAGCGTGCCCATTGCAGCATACATCAGCTCTTCTGTATGCTCTGAGAATTGCGATAGACATGCCAAAACAAAGGTCCATGCGCCAATCTTAACGTTGGCAACGCGAGTCATGTCAAGTAACTGGCACTGTCAAGTAAGTGTCAAGTACCTATTGGCAAAACCTTTACTTTGAAGCCATCGGGAACAGCCAAATCCACCAAGACGCGGCTGCGTGTTTTTACCGGAGCCCGAGATGTTCGCCAATTTCAAGCCTCTGCAAGTCTCCCGCTTTGAACTCTCAAGATGTAGCTGACAAGAGATGACCAGTTGCAGCTATCATGAAGCGTGGAAAGATTAGCTATTCTCCATGTGAGCTCTGGCAGCTATTGGCCACATGGCTGAATGGGGATCTTCCCACCTGGTTCTCCAATTTGAACTCATTGACCTCCTTCTCCAACGCCACATGTGTTTTGTGATCTCGGCCACCTACACGTCATGGCTGATTCAGTGCGCTACCAAAAACAATGTCTCCGCCCGGCCTTTACTGCACCTTCTGTTCATAAAGGCATTCGCTCATGATATGGGCTTCGAGCGCTGCGTGGGGTATCTTGCTACAAGGAACTAAATGATCACACGCAGGCATCTCACAGTGGACCAACGCCCGAAACAACCAACTTGACTGCAGCAACTTGACGCTTGTAACTTGACAAGTTCCTGCTTGGCAGGCACCCACCCACCCCCCGGCGGCAACCGACCGCCTAACGTCACCACCAAGCGCTGCAAGACCAACACCTGGCGCCGGTCCAAGCAACCAGGACCACTGAATGGGAGGCAATTCCAAGAGTCTCACAAAACAAAGGGATCCCTCTCAATGCTCTTTACGATCAACTCAGGGTGTCCTTGTGGCGTTCCTTTAAAGCCATTCCAAAAAAAGGAGGCCTCAGAACAAGACGCGTAGAAAATACAGATTGATGCGGGACCCCGAAACAAGAATCCCAGTTGGAGGAATCGCCTTTTGCGGGATACTTTTTGGGTTCCGGTTGTAAAGGGACATCACAACTATGCTTACAGGGTTGCAATCATCTTCAGAAGTGGGACTTCCTCCCGGCCATTCCTCCGTCGCTCACTGCTCTGAAAGGACATGCCCAAACTGAGCATCCGCAGGGATTGTGAGAAAAGTCGAGGATCCTGATACAATCTGCTTCCCACTTAGGAGTGTTGAAAACTTCTCACCTATGTTCGCCAACCAAAAAGGGCTCCTGAAAACACGGCGGCCAAAATGAGCCATGGCCAACATGACTTTGTCCGAAAGAAAACCGGCAGATCTGGTGAGTTCCCCATGTCCCTCCCAAACAGACCATAGGCTGCCACTGCACAAAGAGCTGATCAGCATTTTGGAACCTGGAGGCCTTGTGCCAAGAAGACAGGAGCCACACAGAACCGACACCCTTCTGTTTTGGACAAATGTATCTATGCATTTGTACATGTAGAGGCATATGCTAAGCAATCAAAGCTGCTAGAAAACTTCCGTAATATCCCACATGCGAAACACGCGAAGGCAAGCCCTGTTTTGCGTACGGTATCGACTCGGGGTCGGAAAGTTCCCCAATGGCACGGCCGACTGTTTCAGAGGCGCAGGTCACGTGGCAGGCGCAACACTTTAAGGTGGAGTCCAGGTTCGTGGCAATCGCATTGTACATACATAAGTAGACAGATCAAATGGAAAGAGAGAGGGAGAGAGAGTCAGAGACGGAGGTGCAAATCGCGCGGCGGGCGCAACACTCTGACAACGTGACCGGCGCAGCAATTTGTTCAAGGTCAAGTACAGATTCGTGGCAGGCGCAGACTTTTGCAAGGTGAAGTACAGATTTCGTGGCAGGCGCAGCGCTTTCACAAGGTCAGGTGAAAGATGGTTGTTTCCATGCAAGGTCAAGTACAGATTTGGTGGCAGGCGCAACACTTTTGCAGACGCAGCACTTTCGCAAGGTCAGGTGAAAGATAAATAGATAGAAAGATAGGTAGATTGATAGATTGATAGATAGAGAGATAGAGAGATAGATAGATAGATACATAAATAGATAGATAGACAGATAGATTAGATAGATAGATAGACTAGATTAGATTAGATAAGATAGATAGATAGATAGATAGGTCAAATGGAAAGAGAGAGAGAGAGAGAGAAGGACAGAGAGATACAGAAAGAAAGAAGGGAGAAAGAAAAAAAGAAAGAAAAAGAGAAAGAGAAAGAAAGAAACAATGAAACAAAGACAACAGTAGACGAGACGAGAAGATAAGAGAAGATCAGAGAAGATGAGAAAACGAGAAGAGAAGATAAGAAAAGGGGTAATAACAAAAAAAAGGAAAGAGAAGAGAAGAGAAGCGAGGCAAGCCGCGGTTGTTTTACTGGGGTAGGGAGTGGTTGCGCGCTGCGTGAGAGTTGCATGTACACGTGCGACCGCAGCCATTTGTGAGTTTGAACTGACACAAGGCTGCAATTCAACATGTTAGAACACACACACACACATCACACACTACTACACACGCGCACACACACACACACGTTGCAGACAGTCGCACGTCACACACGCATGCAGCAAAGCATCACTACAGAAACCACAGCGTTGATGAGATTTTTGTCGCTTGCGAGCGTGCCAGTTCAGGCCGCTCGCCCTGGTGTCGCCTGAGAAGCCTGCAGAATTTAAGGCGGGGCAACTTTGTCGGCAGCGCCTTCGCGCGGCAAGAGTCGCGGGCCAGGCTACTTTAAGTTTCTGCAGTCCCAGCAGCACTTGTTTGACGCAAGACAACAAGCTTGCGTGCGAGCGCTGGAAGCTTCTATTTGTGACTCCGCGCGTGGCTTGCATTCCAGCGTGAATGCCTTTTGTGAGTGGCTCGCTGAGAACCAGGAAGAGCTGCGTGCTTATGCGCAGCCGTCGCGTCAGGCTCTTGGCAACTCGCATGAGGCGAAAACAAGCCCTGCGTTGAAATGAAACTAGACAATGTTCGCCGCGCTTGGCAGCACTTGTCTTCTGAGCAGCAGCAGCAGCAGCAGCAGGTTCGAGCGCTACTTTCACAAGGTCAAGCGCGGACTTCGCAAGGTCAGGTGCAGATAGATAGATAGATAGATAGATAGATAGATAGATAGATAGATAGATAGATAGATAGATAGGTAGGTAGGTAGATAGATAGATAGATAGATAGATTAGATATATTAGATAAATTAGATAGATTAGATAGATTAGATAGAATAGATAGAATAGATAGAATAGATAGAATAGATAGAATAGATAGAATAGATGGAATAGATAGAATAGATAGAATAGATAGAATAGATAGAATAGATAGAATAAATAAAATAGATAGAATAGATAGAATAGATAGAATAGATAGAATAGATAGAATAGATAGAATAGATAGAATAGATAGAATAGATAGAATAGATAGAATAGATAGAATAGATAGAATAGATAGAATAGATAGAATAGATAGAATAGATAGAATAGAATAGAATAGAATAGAATAGAATAGAATAGAATAGAATAGAATAGATACATAGATAGATAGATTAGATAGATAGGTAGGTAGGTAGGTAGGTAGATAAGTAGGTAGGTAGATAGATACATAAATACATAAATAGAACAATCGGAAAGAGAAAGAGAGAGAGAGAGAGAGAGAGCAAGCGAGAGAGAGAGAGAGAGAGAAAGAGAGAAAAAATGATAGAGACAGAGAGGGAAAGGAAGGAAGGCAAGAAAGGGAAGCAAGAAAGAAAGAAAGAAAGAAAGAAAGAAAGAAAGGAAAGCAAAAAGGAAGGGAAGGAAAGAAAAGAACAAAAGAAAGAAAAGGAAGGAAGGAAGGAAGGAAGGAAAGAAAGAAAGAAAGAAAGGAAGACGGGAAAGAAAATCAGAGGGAAATAACAACAGAAAGAAACAAAAAAAGATTAAAAAAAAAGTACATAAATAAATGTAAAAAAGAAGGAAAAAAAAGAAAGAAAGAAAGAAAGAAAGAAAGAAAAGGACGCTCCACCTGCAAACTCGACGGCAGCCAACTCGACTTAAAAGGTGCGCGGGCATGGGGCAGGGCAGGGCTGTTTTGTTTCTCTTCCAACAGGCACATGTCCTTTCTAGAAACTTCCGCCGTATACCTGGTATATATATATATATATGGTGCCCCCCCCCTTCCCCCAATATGTCGACCTTTTTGTCTGTCTTCATCTGTGATGCCCACTACATCTGACTCTGCAAAAGGAAAAAGACTCTCCAACTCAACCGTTTGAAGCGTTTAAACCGGTTGAACCCTTTCTCAAAGGAAAGGGCTGGGCCCAAAACCGTTTGAGCCGTTTCAACCGCTTAAAGCTTTTCTCAGAGAAAAGGTCTGGGCCCAAAACCGTTTAAACCGTTCAAACACTCTCTCAGAGGAAAGGTTTGGGCCCAAAACCGTTTAAAACGATTGAATCGATTGAGCCATTTGAACCCTCTCTCCGGTGGAACCCTTGGAGGGGGGGCCTTTCAATTGAGAGAGGGTTTAAACGGTTTAAACGGTTTAAACAGTTTTGGGGCCCTGGCGCTTGGGGGATAGGGGGGTGGGGGGACCTTTCCTCTGAGAAAGGGCTGAAACGGTTAAAACACTTGAAACAGTAGTAGGCCTTGGGGGGGTCTTTCCTCTGAGAAGGCCCTTAAACGGTTTGGGGCTTCTTGAGGGGGACCTTTGCTCTCAGAAAGGGTTTAAATAGTTTAAACGATTTCGGGCCCTGACTCTCTTCTTTGCTGTTTTTGGCATCTGACAAAACCGCAGCTTAACAGGACGAAGGTAGACCCAAACCGACGAAAATGTCATTCCGGCCTGGATTCAAGATTCGCTGGAAAAGAGTTTAGCCTGAAGCTTGCAGATTGCCTGACATGTGCTTGTTTTTTGCTGCTTTCCCCAAAGACCCAAACAAGGCAGAAAGCTGCAAATACCTATTAACTCTGAAAAGTAAATTTAGATAGGAACTCCTTTCAAAGATTACTTTTAATTGGAAGTCTATTAGACTTTAAAGGCGGTCTCATTTTCTTCTTTTGAACTTAATAGGGAAAATACTCCTAACGGGATGTTCCAATTAGGTGTTCCTGTTCAAAGAAGATTTGTATTAAATCCAATTAAAGCCCTATCTAAATTATAGATAAACCCAGAATATCTAATAGAATTATGTCGTATATTAAATCATAGTTAAAATAGTATCAAATATCAAAATTAAACACGTGTCAAAGTATAATTTTGCTTTTTGAACATTGGATTCTAAAGGGGCTCTTTTTCTAGGATCGTGTATTCAATTATCTATAAAATTTAAGTGGAGTTTAGTGATAAAATAATCGTAGTACGATTTCTAGTTTAAAGAGAATCTAAATAGGTGCCCTTCTCAAAGTCGAATTTGAAATTGGAATTTAAATCATGGTCTAGTTGTATTGTTTGATCGGACATTGAATAAACCATAATAAGGACATATGTCTAGTAGAGTGTATAGTGTTAGCGAGAAATTATGTAGGCATTTGTTGAAGTAACAATATTAATTGGAATTCGCATTTCAAATTCGACTTTGAAGCGGGTCTCTTTTCTGGGATTGAGGAAATGCCCAATGAATTTAGACAGACATTCACAGTGAAACAGCCTAATATAATGTCTAGTTTTAAAGATGATGTAAATAGAATTTCCTGCTGAAAGAATGTGTTTAATTGTCATGCTTACTTCAAAATACATGTTTAAGAGGACTTCCTTGCCCACTGGGCAAGGAAGTTTTCCCAGTTTCTAATGAGAATCTAAAAAAGGTCTAAATCAGGCACCTTTTTGTTGCTGCTTTCCCCAAGCACCAAAGAAGGCAAAACAAACCACCGCAAATATTGTAAACCAACAAAAAGGTCCAGGGGGGTAGCATATACAAATATATATATATATATAGAGAAAGATATATATATATATAGATATGCGTGGAACCCAAGAAGGAACATATCTAGATCAATATCCTTTTGATTGACCCCTTTTGCGGGAGCACAAGCTGATTTCTTGGGTGGTCAGATCTTCACTTCAATCGATCATGTTGTGTTGATGCTCAAGCAAAAGAAGGGAGTTTCCTTCAAACACGTCTAGAGAGGACCTTCCAAATTGTTAGGGTTGCTCCTTTAATTGACATGAAACCGCAAGAAACATCTCTTAGAGGAAACTCGTGCTAAGGGATCGTCGTGATTCCATCTCTTTCGTCTGAATTCCCTACAAAGCTGCTAAACCCAAGCAAAAGAGGGTTTTGAGCCGTGCACACATTATTGAGCGTGCTCCACGATATCCCCCGGCTTGCTTTCACTCAGAGCCATGCAAGGCAGTGCAAGCCAACGTTTGAAATCATTGATACGCTACCCTTGCAAACCCAAAGAGGTTTCCATTGACTGCTCGCATGCTCGTAATGGGAAAATCTGGGCTCCATCCCCCTGGCTTGGTTGAAATCTATTGTGAGACCCCCGTGTGCCGAACAATCACCCAATCCCCACTTGCACAGCAACCCTGAGAAGAACAAGATTGGAACCGCTTTTTGTTCCTTCTTTGCAAAACACAACCTCGAGGGTTCAATGGCTTTCCAAGAAATCTGGTGAACCGCAAAGTGGAGGGTTTCCTGTTGGTGTCCTTTCAACCCCGACGAGGGATCAACCCCCAGGTTGAACATGTTGAACACGCTTCTGCAGTGGATGGACAAAATGCAGTTTGCGCCAACTGTGCAAAACGGTTTTTGTTCGGAGAAACCATCAACCAACTAGTGTCAAGTGGATTTCTGTGTGTTGTACCCAAAGGAATCCCCAACCGCAGCCGTCGATTCATCGCTTCCTTACCTCCCGGAGCTCGTCTTCGGAGGAGGTCTCCTCCTGCGGTCAGAGCGGAGTCCCAAATGAACTGAAACCTGTGCGAAGATCGAGGACTTCTCAACGAAACCGACCCTGCATGCTTGAGCAAAAGAAACAATATATAGCTGACAGGTTCAGGACGCCCATGAACGAACGTTTCAGGGACGCCCCGGTTTTTTGGGGGAATTGATCCATTTCAAGGCGACTCTCTGGCAAGCCAAGTCCGAAGTTAACATCCATGGGAATCCAGGGTTAAAACACCCCCACAGACTTCCATTCAGTGGACCCAAGAGCAGAAGTTCCTTTGATCCTAGGCGCAAGCCAGCCAAACATTCGCTAGTGCCCTGAATCCAGTGCCACGGGCGGGTTTGAACATTCGGTTGCATCGTGTGATCTTTGCATCGGGAGACCAAGCTCAAGAACCGGACACGACCCTCGCTCCATGAGGTAAGCCGTCTCCACGGGCCCTCCGCTCGTCACGATGCCGCCCACCGCCTGCCGAAGCCACGGGTCCCAGGGGTTGAAACCCAGGCATTTTGGCTGAAAGCCAAGTTGCTTTCCCCTTGAAACCCAAAGGCACCAAAGGGAAACACAAGGGAAACCCAACAAAAAGCAAGAGAAACCTGAAACGCTTGGCCGCAGTTGATTTTGTGGGGTAAACCGAAACCAAAGGGCAGCCATCCATCCATTTTGGGCTTACGTTCCGCCATGAGACAATCCCATTTTCGTCTCCGGGGCTGATGGCCCAAAATGCTTCTCAGGGCCGCTTAGCTAGGGGGGCTTCGACTCCCGCCAGAAGTATCCAAGCCTTCAGAGATTCTTTTGGTGTGTTGAAATGGCTCTGCACCCGAACGTGGCTTTGGTGTTCCTGGCTTCCCCGTAAACCAACACCAGGACCCCAAGGCTTGTCTCCAAAAACACACACTCATACCAAGTCAACTCCGCTGACCCCATTGACCCGACTTGGGCCCGCTCTCGCACCATCAGGATCTCAGAGAGGCTGCTAGCCTTGGCCTGGCGATCGCGTCAGATCACATGCTGAACGAATTGATGTCTGGGACAAACGGGCCAGGAACTATTCAATACATCAGTCTATCAACTTTAGAGTTCAGCAGTCTTCTCGCTATCATATAAGTCTAGAGGCTTGCGAGCCACTATCAATCAAGCACACGTTACTTTGCCACCTGAGCCATGCCGATGCGGAGACACTTGCTCAAGTCCACCCGAAAACTGGAGGCTCCGAAGTCGCTTGTCACAGAGTTCCGCTGTTTCGATTTCCACAAAGTGTGCAGTCCAGTGCTGGGAACCTAACAAGTAAGTTGAAGGGCGAAAGGCGTCTGCACCAACAAGAATGGGTCCCAATACCGGTTCAGTGTCATGGGCTCATTGCTGGGTCGGTTGGTCATCAACTTCAAGCTGTGACATCAATGCGACCCACCCTACACGCCCCCCATGGCCATCACGCCACGTCTCGCTGCAAACCCCGTTCAGGCTCTCGCGAAAACCCGCCTGCAGGAAATTGGCAACCGCTGAGCCGAGGAGCGTGGCGATCAAAATCCTGGCAGTTGACAGGGTTCACCATGTCCAAGAGGTCAGCAATCCACTGACTTATCTGAGCACGGATTGCAGAAAATCTGCACTTTTGCGGGGTCTTGAATGAAAGGAATCCTCGACTTCGCGTTCAGCACCATCCAAACCAAGCAACCAGATGCTTTGACCTTTCTCATTCATAAAGCGGACAAACACCCTCTGATCATGTCTGAACTTTTTCTTAAAACCAACTGGTTTGCCCCTTTTGGGATCCGGTGATGTCTTGAAAGTTGCAAAATAGCACATCCGGTTGACCTTTTAGTACCTCAAGACTCGTTGTAGATGGTTTGACCAGTTTCCTGCGGCTTTCTGAGATCTCCGAACCTTCGAACCGCGCGGCCGCATCGCCTCTTGCGGCCGATGCGGTCGGAGAGGGCGCCCACCACCGGAGCGAACACCATCTGCGCCAGGTTAAACACCTCGAGTTTGCGTCCCGAGCCCCTCCAGGGATTCAAAGGGAGCGGCGGGCGGGGAGGCCTTCAAAGAATCCGGGACTTGGAATGTCCCAACTCTGAGGTGGTTCAAAGCGCAGTAAAGGGATTTACAGGGAATAAGCAGGCATTTCAATGTCTTTTTGAGGATGGACCCTCCCCGTTCATGGCAGGATTCCAAATCTCATTTGGTTTAGGAATCTCCTGTTGGGGTACCTCTTTGTACCTGGGATACAGCTGAAAGGTATGGCCCGGCATCAAAGGGGTTACGCTGCCCTGGTACGGCGAGAATCACCCAGTCCAAACACCGAGTGCTGACCTACCAACTTGGCGGCGGCTCAGCCCACGGCCGTCCCCTGCAAAGCCTCAGAGACCGATTTGCAATGCCCGGGTTTGTTTCCGAAACCATCTACCCACACGCAAAAGCTTGATACCTCCAACGAGGTCCCCTACCCGTCACCAAGAAAATCGTCCGACGGCAAAGGCAACTGTCGCAAGGTCGAAGACACCGACGGAGCCAAGGGACGATGTCAAAAGCGTTCGCACCCATCTGCATGACCTGAGTGGCAAGAGCTTCACTCGCACGCGCTGGTTTGGAGCGGTGTCCAGCTTTAACGAGCATTCCGTGAAGTGTTCCAACTGTACTTTGTTCGAATTGGCCGCTGAAGGGAAGCAGGCAAGGGCAATCCGGAGGCGTTGACGGACCCAACAAGCAGGTGAACAAATATGATGGGACCCCTCGCGCGCCCATGTTGAACCCTCACATCAAGTGTTCCAACCTTTTCGAGCAAGATGACATCGTTCTCTTGACAAAATGGTCGCCTCTTTTTTCTGAAGCCCTTGAAAGGCTGGGGGTTGCACCCCAGAGAAAGTTGGACGTCACCTGGCCCTCAACGGCTCGCTCACTCGATGCGAAGCGGGTTCGCGGCGTAGAAGGGCAGAACGGGCATCAGCGCCATCGATGTGGTGGCATTGATGGTCCTTGGTGTTTCACCCGTAGGGCCCCGGCCCTATGAAAAGTGGTTCACATGACAAAAAAGAAATAACGTTCAACCAAATCCCCGGCGTGTAAGGGGGGGGGGGGGGAAGGGTAAAAATATGAAGGGTAGGTAAAACCACCCGGAAGGCACCGACGGTGGATGCCCGAAAAAACAAAACATGTGCGCGTGCTTTTTGAGGGTGGTACCCTTGGGCTCCCCTATTTTAACACATACCCATGTTGCTTGTGGAGAACCTCATAAAATCAACCAAAGGAGGCTGTGAAAAAACGACGGAGCCCCCTTGCCATAGGCACCTCTCTACTTGGATTGAACAATCAGTTCCCTCATTGCCTTGATCCCTCATTTCTGCAAGACCCCCTCAAGGCGACAATAGTATATCTTTGTGAAGCAACATCTTGGAGTGGGATTCCTCCTCACTTGCCACGGCAAAAACAAGGGCGACCCTTATCGATTGGAGTTTCGGTTTCCCTAGATAGCTTGCAAAGCAAAGGTCCCTCAACTCGTGGGTGACTCATGGTTTTCCTTGACCAGTTGGAGGGTCCTCTGTGGTCAAAAAGTAGCGGGTGCCTGGTCTTAACACGGCCCTGCCGCCAGAGACGTGATGGAATCCTGGAAATCCCACTGGTGCTTTGATTTAGCCTTCTAAACAAAATGCAAACTGCAATGTGTGGTGATTCGCTGAGTGTTTGCTCTAAGATTGCAATTATTGCGAGTAGTATTCCGATTGACACGTGCTCAGATGTATGGCGCGGCCTGCGACTACCAAGCGTTTCCGCCCTCCGATCCAATTGTGAGGGTGGTTTATCTGTTAGTATTCACAGACTCATATGTTGCAAGCCCTTTGGAACAGACAAAGTGAGGCAAGGAGTTTACCGCTGATAGTGTCATCCCTCTTGCCCCTATCTGGGTTTTCATTTGGTAGCAGAAAGTGTTCTTCATTCTTTGACTTGCAACCTTCAGCACATCAGCAAAAATCGGCCATCCGTCCGAGCGGCTCCACCACCAGCAAGGCGATGATGGACGTGCTCACCGGCATGATGGAAAGCTCAAGTCGGAGGCAAAAAAGGAGAAGGGGCGCAGAGACTTCGCCCAAGGGGAGGCGGAAGGGTCAAGTCCTTCCTCCCACCACAGGTTCGGTTAACGAAGGGAACGAAAGGGTCTTCGATCCAAGCTGGCCGGCGAGCGGATCACACAAAGGAAATCAATATGTCCAGGCAAATCTCCGACGATAAAATCCGAAGAATGCAGCTGCAGAAAGAAAAGGGAATTCAATGTCCAGGAGAACCTGACAAAGTTTATGTCTTCACTTACATCCTGTGCGCAAAAAGTACAAACGCGCAAACTTTCAGAACCCACTTAGGTGGCAAATCGGAAGGGCACTTGCGCTTGGGATGCCAGTGGCTCGACCAGGGCACCAATTCAGCCTTCCGTTTGTGTGCAAAACCAAGCCACAAAACAAAATGACAAGCATGAAAACACTAAAACATCGCCTGATCAGTCATACGCTTTGGGCCGGCTTGATTAGGAAGTTCAAGAGAAACTGCCCCATTGTGCGGTTCTCTCATTTGGAGAGCTTTGACTAACTATCCGTGTTGACTCGCCCCCGTTAAGGTTTTGTTCCTGATGGGTCCATCAAAACGATCAAGCATCACTTCCACACCAGGAAAGGGACTTGGTCCATTGGCGTATTCCCGCAAAGGATGCCTCCTATAGACAAGGGCAGGCCTCGAAATGCTTGAACCCGCTTCTGGCAAAGCTGCCACAGGGGGTTCAGCGCTCTGACACACCCACGAGTTGCCCTTACTTGCAAAGGTGTTCTCTGTGATGGGAAATGAGCCCCAACTTCGGACGTGTTTCCCGGGGAGTAATCTATTGCCATCGCAAGAATCCAAAGATTCCAGCAGTGAAAAAAAACGTCTCGAGACATGTCGGCGCCGCCAGAATGAAGCCATCCAAGTTGCCCAGGGTGTCATTCACCTGACATCACTCCAGGCAGCCATGGTCAATTAATAGGAATCCTTATATATGGTGCCAACTCCAAGTGAACGTAATTTTGCGGAGGCACATATGGAATCCCGAAGTCTATCCCTCACTCATCGCCAACCAGGATCTACAGGATCCCCACCTCCTCTTCGACCTGCTGTTACTTGAAGGTTCTCTGAAATGCGTAGTGAGTCGTGAAAAATATCAAAGCAAAACCGGTCCCCTTTCCCGCACCCATCCATGGAGAAGCTCGCAGTCGGGGTGAATCTTAGTTGCGAGCCCTTTCTCACTGAACCGAATCTCACGCTTGGGGCATTTCTGCAACGCGAAGACATCATCCAGAGATTGCGCTCTCCAACTTGGTGTGTCTTGAGCGGAAACCCAGTTCTTTGGCTGTAACTTTTCGGGGCTTGGGACTTTTGGACCCCTTCGCATGGCCAGAAGTGTCCACAGCCGAGTGAGGCAAGGTTGTGTCCACGACGAAACATGGGGCTCATGTGAAACAAGACCACAAACTTTAGCTCCAGATAGGTCACGGTTTCCTTGCGGTTTTTCACGAAGAGACTCTCTGGATTTGGGTAGACATCCGCTTGCCACCCCGCCCGCAGGTAGCTCTCGTAGGCTTGCTTCAAGACCATCTGCTGGCGCCTGAGGACTGTGACAGGGCTCACAGGTCACCAAGTCAAAACGACGTTGGATTTCCCAGGGACAAGTAAACAGTTCCGAGCAGTCCCGCAATGGGATACCTCCCCCCAACGGAAACCCGAAAATCCAAATGTTTAGAGAGATCTCCTTTCGACCCCCTAACATTGGAGCAGCTCCCATGCAAATGCCTCCCCTCACGCTCTCATGCCCTCGTACCCCCACATGTGAGCTCTCAAAGCGCAAGCCCTCGTTCAAGGGTCACCTCCACAGCATGTAGACCCAAGAATTTGTTTCTACGAGCAACTCCAATCTTGCTACTAAGCAATCGCTTTGAGAGACACGGAGCCAACCGGATTTGCGCGAGAAAACCGGAAAACAGAGACAACCAAGATAACCGGAAGAATGCCGAGAAAACGAAAGAACCGAGAAACCGAGAATAACATGTTTGCGCGGGTTCGCGGATTCAGCGGTTGTCGCGATTTCACGGTTTTCCCAGTGTTCGAAGGTGTTCGCTGCGTTTCCGTTGTTAATTACTATGCTTCAAGGACGTGTGTTTTGAGCCCCGGCAGTCATAGAAATAAGATAGATAGATTGATAGATAGATAGATTCGATACATACATAGGGTAAGATGGGATAAGACATGGTAAGATAGGCCAACGTGGGATATGACAGGATAAGATGGGACGAGACATGATGAGATAGGATACGACAGAAAAAGATCGGATCAATAGTACATATATATATATATATATATGAATAGATGTACATATAAAATAGATATGATAGACAAGGTAGATACGACGTATAAGATGGATGAGGTAGATAAGACAGGAAAAATATGAAAGATAGATACGATGAGATAGATAGGACAAGTAGGACAGATAGGATAGATATGATAGTTTGGCTAGATGAGATGAATGGGATAGATAGGTATGCATGTAGATAGATAGATCAACAGTTCAACAGGTAGATAGATAGATAGATACATAGATAGATAGATAGGTAGATAGACACATAGGATAAGATAGGGTACGACAGGATAAGATAGGATAAGATAGGATAAGATAGGATAAGATAGGATAAGATAGGATGAGGCAGGATAAGGCAGGATATGATATGATAAAATTGATAGATAGATAGATAGATAGATAGATAGATAGACAGACAGACAGATAGATAGATAGATACATAGATAGATAGATAGATACATAGATAGATAGACAGACAGATAGATGGCAGGATATGATATGATATATATATATATAGATAGAGATAGATACAAAGGATAAGATAGGCTACATTAGGATAAAACAGGATAAGACACGGTAAGAAAGGCTAACGTGGGGTAAGATAGGATAAGATAGGATAAAGCAGGATAAGATGGCATGGGATAGGATAAGACAGGTTAAGGTAGGCTAAGACAGGAACATGTAAAGGTCAAGGCAAATAAGGTAGATAGGACAGACATGATAGAGAATAGTTATACACGAGGAGATAGATAGGAAAGATAGCACATATAGGATAGATAGGTAGGTAAAAACATAGATAGATACGTAGGATAAGAGAGGACAAGATATGATATATGATAAGACAGGCCAGGGTAAGGCAGGATAAGACAGGAATCGACGGGATAACATTGGATAACACAGAAAAAATGGGTTAAGATACGACAAGACATGATGATATTTGATAAGAACAGACAAGGTAGGTAACGTAGTATACAAGACAGGTATGATAGATAATATAAATAGAACATACAGATACGATGAGATAGATAGGAACGATAGGATATATAGGATAGATAAGTAGGTGGGTAGGTTGGTAGAATGAAAGGTAGATATGTGGGAAAAGATAGGATCAGACAGGATAATATAGGTTAATACAGGATAAGATAGGATAAGATGGCATAAGGTAAGATATAATAGGATGAGATAGAATAAGATAGGGTAAGATGGGATAAGATGGGGTAAGCCATGATGATATAGGGTGAGATATGATAAGATGGGGTAAGCTAGGATTATATAAGGTAAAATAGCCTAACACAGGGCAATACAGGATAAGATAGGTTAAGATAGGACAATACAGGATTATGTGTATATAGTATATATATATGATAAGATGACATGCGGTGGGTAAGGTAGATAAGATAGATAAGGTACACAGGAAATGTATAGACAATGTACATAAGAGAGATAAGATATGAGATAGATAAGGTTGAAAATATCGATGAGAAAGCTAAAATAAAAATGATAGACAGGATAGATGGGATAGATATGATAGGATATGATAAAATAGGATAGGATAGACTAGGATGAGATAGGATAGGATGGGTAGGTAGGAAGATGGGTAGATAGGTAGATAGATATATGCATAGATATACTAGATTTGGTAGACTAGATTGGATCAGATATATTCATTAGAGACAAATGGATAAATAGATAGATAGACTAGATGCAGCCAGTGTCCAGCCGCCAGTCAGCCAGTCAGCCAGCCGTGGCCGAGCAGCCGTGCCCGGCCGGCCAGTCAGCCAGCGTCGGTTTTCGGGTTTTCGCAGCTTTCGCGGTTTTCGTGGTGTTTGCGGTTTTCGTGGATTTTTTCCTTGTTTATTTTCTTGTTTTTCTTTTTGTTTGCGTTTTCGCAGTTTTCGCGGTTTTCGCGGTTTTCGCGGTTGTCGCGGTTGTCGCGGTTTTCGCGTTTTCGCGGTTTTCGCGGTTTCGCGGTTTCGCGGTTTCGCGTTTTCGGTTGCAAAATCCGTTTAGCGCACGTCACAAAAAACAATCGCACTGCAATCTTGTGATCCTAAATTATGCAGAACTCTCTTGTGGACCTCGCGTGAAGTCAACGCCATTCCTGACACTGCACACTCTGGGAACTCTCGCCAGCAATCAAGAATCCATCGATTCAGTCCTTTGCCCCTTTGCTAGAGATCGCCTTCCTGACTTGGGTATGTCTTTTTTTCGAGGGTACCTTTTAGGGGTTGTGTTACCACAAGTGCCATGGTCAATTTTTCCTGTACCCTCCGTGGACCTGGCCAAACTAGCGACCCCCCGTTGTGTGGGAAACTTCATGCTCGTCCGCCAAGTCTGTCCCTCCCAAGTGGACCCTAAACTTCTGGAACATCCTACCTGGAGACAAACCCATCTGCGTCCATCGATTTTTCACCTGGCGAAATGTCACCATCTCATGGCTGAGCCGAAGGCGGTGGCCACTGGTCATCACCATAATCTTGCACCTGAGTCATGTTGCAAAATATGCTCTCAAGGTCTCGAAACAAATGGACTGGACCCCGTGGAAATTGCCTAACCCACCGGCGGCTTCCTCAATTGGGCGCGTGTGCGTAAAGGGAAAAGCACCCGGAAAACCGGAAAACCGGTCTCCGGCATTCGAAGACCCGCCCTTCTTTCGCG